AGCAGTCCGTTCTTCTCCATGAAAACCACACTGTGTTTGTTGGGATGACGCTGAGTGCTCGCTATCAGGCTCCCTGAAGGTCTGAAACATCAGGAGAAGATTTAGCTTTCACACACTACACAGTTCTCTACGTGAAAAAGAGCAGGAACTTAATTACCAGTAAGACTTTAATGAAATGATAGAAAACAGCTTTAGGACTCTCACTTCCAGCACAGCGCCTGCTCCAGGCCGTTGATGATCTCGCTGGTGGCCTGCAGGACGCCCTCTCTGTTCCAGACCCGAACCTTCCTGGCTCCAGTCTGAGGACAGACGGCACTGACGGCAAACAGCTGACCATCGCCTCGCCACGTCACCCGTGGCCTGCGGTCATCCCAGGCTGCAGCCGGCTGCACTTCCTGTGTTTATGAATACTTTCACATTAGACAAAGTTCTTAGAAATGTTCAACCATTCTTTAAGCTATGGTGTTTCTGTTGTTGAACACTGACCTGGTTCTTCCTCTGTGCTGCCTGTTTCCCCTCTGAGCCGTGGAACTGAGTCTCCTTCTTCCCCCAGCCCACTGTGATGAACTTCCCTGCAGAAAACACAACATACTGTATGTAAAATATTGTTATTTAGCCATGTTACAAATATTTCTATTCTCAAGTTAGGAACCACTGCTCTAAACAGAGTCCATTAGGAACTACTGTACCTTCACCGAAGTCATCCTGGTGGATCCCGACCTCAGTGATTGGCTCGAAGTCTTTGGTCATCATGATGATGGTTTCCTGACCTGTGAGCACAAGTTATTATTGTTTTATTCATTTGTAACACTGTTTAATATGTTTAACAAAAATTATGTAACAAAGCATTGTAACTATGGTGATATACTAATATCTAAAACAACAGGGTACCTTGACTATGTTTTATATTTAAAACTGAAACTTTTGTTCACCTTTGACGATTTCCAAACAGCAAAATGGTGCCACCATAAAAATTCTAAACTACCGATAACGGCCTCTGCTTTATAAAAGTTTAGACAACTGGCCTTGTATCTTAATATTTTTGCTGCTTTGTTGTGTGTGCAATGACACAGAGATCGACTGACAAGAGACTGACGCCACTGAGAGCTCTCTGTCTGATGATTTAAAGCATTAAATTTAAGGTGAAAGCTGAATTAACATGTTTTCAAATAATATGTTTTTGACATAGTGTAACATACTGACCAGTAGTGAGAGCAACAAGCTCTTCATCAGGACTCCAACTCATCGAGGTTAGGCCGCTGTCCACGCTGCCAACACACTCTAACTGTGGAACATGATCACAGAAACTTTGTGAGAACTCTTGTTGATGTAATTCATTCCCTTGCCTCTTATATTACCCTTAACTTAAAGCCAACTCTTAACAGCCACACAGACATTTGAAGACATGACGGCTGAAAAAGAAACTCCTAACTTTCCAACTGTTCTGTGCTGCTCACCTGGCAGGTGTTGAAGTTGAAGAGGACGACATCACCACCAGCTGTGGCCAAACATGCCGACTCGAGTTCAGCCAGGTCCTGCAGGCCGACTACTGTCCCGCTGCCGTCCTCTGGGAGGAAACCCTCAGCTGTCAGCGAGGCCTCACTGACCACCTGCACAACCAAACAGAGGAAAGGTGATTTCTCATTGAAATGCTGCACTTTTCCTTGACTACTTTTTAAAATTGGAATGGAATATAAATAAAACCTGCAAAGTCATGAGCACCGACATCTACGCATAATCTTTGCTCTCAACCAGACAAGCACATCATCACTAGCTCACCTGGCCAGTTCGTGGGTCGTACTCTGTGATGGAGTAGTGAGAAGCGACCAGCAGTGAGCCGGTGTCAGCCCGCACAGAGGAACACTGCGGGGAGCCTGGACCCTGAAGCTCTGAGCTCCGAAGGCTCTTCAGCAGCTTCAAGTTCCGCATTTTGCCTCAGGACAGACTGAAAACACGCAGAGCCTGAGTGTGGAGCCAAAGACTGCAAAACACCTGAAACAGCAAAAATGAAACATGTTTATTACTGAAACCACTGACTGACACATCTGGGTGATACACCAGTACAGTATCATCACAGTGATGAAAACACCAGCAATCTTTCTGAGGTTTTAGGGACTGTAAAACTCCCAATTTGGTATCTATATTGGCTTTTGAACAGTGCTGTACAAATAAAGTTTATTAAAGTTTCTTCTGTGTGGCTGCTGTCAATGATTAATGAAGAGTTTGCCTCTTTCAAGTAAGCATTTATAGATTTGTGATTCGCACATGTTAAAGGCTGTATGCTTTCCTCTGTTTCATGTGATTGCAGTTTTGATACTATGAGAATAAGATTAAACAGTTACAAGGCACCTCTGGACTTAGAAAACAGCCTACTGTCTGTTCCTTCGCTTAGTTTCTCGCTATCACAGCCACTATGCAACATGAATCCATTATCGGACACAACCATGTTAGACACTTTCTCACTGGAAACCCAAATTTGGGCAGCAACGTCCCTTTAAAGTTCGTTAACAGCTTAAAACCAAGTGTACCATCATATTACACACGAACATTTTATAGTCAGTTTAATGTTTGCTTTACCTGATCACAGTTAGCCTGTTACCTGAACCATGTATCTGTAACGTTACTCTTTAGCTGACATCCGTTTATAAATTCGCCAGGAAACATGAACCTAACCGTACTTTGACAGTGTAAATAACTACATTGTTAGCAGTTTTACAAACCAAGCTGGTGACTGTAGAGAGAAAATCTTACCTAAGTTACAGGGTGTCCGAAAATGGAACTGGATGTGCTAGCTTACCTTTAAACCTGAATTAGCGACATGCTAATTAGCAGCGATATTTCCGTTAACCTGTCATAAAATGGCGGCTTTGAAGCGTCATGAAATCTCAAATAAATTGTAAAAACTCACCAAGACGAAACAGCCTGAAGTACTGAGAGCTTTTAAATGTCCTGCATCAACAACATCATGCATGTGGCGCTGTCAGACACATGACCTTTCACCTCTGACGCAGTTATCGGAGTCAGCGGCGGTGGCGCCCCCTGGCGGCCTGGAGGTATAATGAATTTCATACAAAAATGAACTGTGACAAAAGGAAACCTGAACTTTATCTGTCTTTTATTTGCTAATATCAGAACTTTATCTGTTGATCCCCAGTAGACAAATTCGATATATGATTATAGGGATGGGTAGATTATAAATTAAAACTTGAATGTAACTCATTATGCCTCACCTCAATAAAACTACTACTGCTACTACTACTACTAATAATAACAATTGCATTTCTATGTGAACAGCTCCATGTACATTGTGTATTTTGAGTTTATATTTCAGGCTCTACGTGCTCAGTTTTAGCATATATATAATTCATGTGTACGGTTCCTTTCAGTATATCATCAAAGCATTGTGTGACGCATACATTTTCCCAAATATCGCTTTAAAAAATTAACATCCTTAAGTAGGTGCTAAATAATTCACATACTAATATTATATTCATATGTTCTGTACAATTATATCTTTATTTTATTTTTCACATTATGCTTTAACATAGTGTGCCTGTACCAAGCAAACAGGTAGCATTCAGGGAACGTTCCCTTGATGTTACCTGGAGATTGACAAAAGACTTCAGTTATGCCTGTGTCAATCAAAGATATTATGCAACACCTCAAACTGGAGAAACTCATATTGACGTTAAGAGGTTAAAGTTAAATATTCCATAAGACTTGGCCACCCTTCATTCAGTATGCACAGGCCTGGTGATAAGTATCCTTTGAACCCTTTGATATAATAACTAAGTAAAACCTATTGTGAGATGACAATAATCATATATTTACTGTATGTGCCCAACTGTTATTTATGTGTGTCCGTTCGTTGCTTCAGAACTGCTTTTGTAATAGTTTATATAATTTTTATGCAGTATTCAGTGGTTGTTGACTAATGTGCCAATAAACAGACATTTAAAAAATGTCAGTAATGTTCTCTTTTCCTGATGTACTGTACTCACTGTCTCAACGCTTCATCATCTTCAGAAGTCTCCTGTGACCTCACACAGTGTCATGATGATTAATATCCATAAGGTGGCGCTGAAGTCCAGAGCAAGGGAGTAAACACAGCCACCTATGAACCAGAAGTTGATCATATAGCCTGTACTTTTAAACCTCATCTGATGACACTACCAAAGAAACCTCATGCCATCTTCAGGTCTTTGTGACTTTGTTTTTTGGGTAGTACAGGTTTTCTGCGGGTGCTCCCACTTTCTTAAAGCCATGCAGCAAAAGCTATTTGTTTTAATGTTTTACAATTAATGACACAACAAACACATAAATAAAAAAAAATCTCTCTTATCATTATCTGTCATAGCTGTAAATGTTCAAGTCAGTCTGAACTTCTGTTGATTCAGTGTCAGCTGGGTTAAAGGTTGTGTGGAAAATACAGAGAAAAGACCGGTGTTTTGCAAACATCTTTTTGAGAATGAAAGTTTGTTTTTGATACTTTAACTATGTTTTTCTGATAATGCCATTTGTAGCAAGTTTCTGTTTAAAAAGATAAAAAAAATGTACGGATCACAATAAACAAGATGCAATAGTGCAAATAGGTAGGAGAAATAAGTTATATACATAATAAAAAATGGCACACCTTAAAACATAACACTGTTCCTATGCCTGTATGGCATAGGAATAAAGGACATGTAATCATTCTGTACAAATTAGAAGATTTTTTATATATATATTTATATTATGATTTAATTTTTAATTTAATTTAATTTCAATTTAATTTAATTATATTATGATTTAGATAAATTAATTACGTTAGTATAAAATGATAATAATAATAATAATACAATTATATAATTTTATATATGTATATATTTTTACACAGTTGCTGTGGTGAAATTAATCCGCTGAAAATGTTTTATTCGGCTTTTACTCTGAAAACAACACGGTTGCTCCTTTTCTGGGGCTTTTATTTTGTAAAGCGATGACCGGATGTCGTGTTCGCCTGTGTTGTCGCGAGCTGACAGGCTGCTGACATGACAACAGGTGAACGAGAGTTCAATGTCAGAAACGCTGAGGGAGCCGAGGACAGCAGGGCGGTATGAGAGACGCGATGAGAGGACGGAGACAGACAGGTAAATGTTTTATAATATTTCTTTGTTCTCTGACATGTCTGTGACCAAACACACGGCAGCAGACACACACCATTACCACACTGTCTCTAACCAAACCCGGGTCTTACCCTCTTTTCTTCCCGCTCTGTCGCAGTTTGCTAACGACATGTTGTAAGTCATCCTACAGACATGTTTAACGTTACTGTGATACAGAGCTGAAAGCGGACACAAATGCTTCAAGGGTAAAACTCAAAGTATCGTCTGGTTTCCGCCCACAGCTCGTCTCATTCATGGTGAAATCAAAACAAGCGTGCTGCCTGCTGCCATGCTGCTGTCAGACATGACTGCCCAAAATAACACAATGCTGCTGAGTCTAAATAAAGCAGGTGCTGTTAGTGTTAATGGTGGACAATCTGTGTGAAGGACATCTGTCATTGACACCAGGGGCTGCTGGAAGGTAAATATGACATTCCTGTAACCTGTCAGCCTCCTATGGCTGTCACTCACCTGTCACTTTATTAGGTACACCTGTTCAAGTGCTGGTTAATCCACATAGCTAATCAGCCAATCATGTGGCAGCAACTCAATGCATTTAGTCATGTAGACATGATGAAGACACAACCACCTCTAGGGTTTACAGAGAGAAAATATCCAGTGAGCCAAAATGCCTTGTTGATGCCAGAGGTCAGAGGAGAATGGCCAGACTGGTTCAAGATGATAGAAAGGCAACAGGAAGTCAAATAAGCACTGGTTCCAACCAAGGTGTGCAGAAGACCATCTCTGAAGCAACAACACCTTGTCCAACCTTGAAGCAGATGGGCTACAGCAGCAGAAGACCACACCAGGTGCCACTCCTGTCAGCTAACAACAGGAAACTGAGGCTACAATTCACACAGGTTTTCTCACCAAAACTGGACAATAGAAGATTGGAAAAACCACATTCAGATGGAAGCATGGATCCATCCTGCCTTGTATCAACGCTTCAGGCTGCTGCTGGTGGTGTAATGGTGTGGGGGAGATTTTCTTAGTACCAACTGAGCATGGTTTAAACACCACAGCCTACCTGAGTATTGTTGCTGAGCGTGTCCATCCCTTTATGACCACAGTGTACCCATCTTCTGATGGCTACTTCCAGCAGGATAACGCACCATGTCACAAAGCTCACATCATCTCAAACATGACAATGAGTTCACTGTACTCCAATGGCCTCCACAGTCACCAGATCTCAGTCCAATAGAGCACCTTTGGGATGTGCTGGAACGGGAGATTCTCATCATGGATCAACTGTGTGATGTCATCATGTCAATATGGACCAACATCTCTGAGGAATGTTTCCAGCACCTTGTTGAATCTGTGACACCAAGAACTAAGGCAGTTCTGAAGGCAAAAAATAAAAACACGATTCTTATTGTTGTGATTATACACTAAAGAAAAATACTTATCTTCTTATATTCCATTTTTGCCAATATGTCCCCCGAAATCAGACACACTGGACCTTAAATGATCAACTTTAATTGCTTCTTTTAGGTTTTCTTCTCTGGTATAAAACAAATAGGACAGACAAGAAGGCCAACTGTAAAGCATCATGAGCATCAAGAGATACCCGGTGTTTGTCACAGACACAGTGTACTGATGTGAACAATGATGTTTAGTCTGTCTGAATGTGTTTATGTCTGTTATCCAGAGATAAGGAAGCCAAGGCTACCGTGATGTTTTTGTCTCCTTCTGCTGCTTTTGGTTACTGAAGTGAAACTACGCTGAGAGAAGAAACCGAACGTACAGAGGTAATACTACAATTTATGATCGCACTATTGTTGTCACCATCCTGGTGAGTGTAGCCACACCTTCATCACACAATTCAGCCAGTGGGACCCTAATTTGAGAACTGATTTTTTTCCACTCACTTTGTGGATAACTGAGTTATGTTGACTTTTTATTGACTCGGTTATTATATATCTTCAACACTTTATGTGCTAACTGAGTTCTCAGTGACGTATTTCTTTATTTTTCTCTTCTGCGACATGTTTATTTAAGGATAGGTTGCTTACAAATACTTAAAGGGATAGTTTGGCTCTTTTGGTGTGGGGTTGCATGAGGTACTTATCCATAGTCAAGGTATTACATAACGTACATGTTGGTTGGCATGGCTCCAGTTTGGAGAAGCAGGCTGGAGTCCGGCAAGGAAGTTAAACAATGTACTGCTGTGGATGGGGTCAGTAACAAAACTAATTTCAGCCATCAAAAAACATATATTTACAATAGTTTTATCACTTCACTCTGCTGTGAAACAGCAGTTTCCAACAGGGAACTGAAACCATTACATTGCTCTCTTCAAAACCAGACTCCATTGACAAAAGCAGTAATTTAACAATTGCTCAACACAGGAGCTGCTGGTCTACCCCAGCACCTAAACAGTCAGCTAAATAAAAAACACAAAAGACAAAAGAGTCAATATCAGTTTAACTGTATGCTGTATTTGAAATATTTTTACTCCTTTACCTGACCTTCAGACAGCAATTTCTGACGGGGAATGGAGGCACATATATCGTCTTTTCAAAGCCAGACTCCATTGAGAAAAACAGTAATTTAACATTGTTGCACACAGGAGCTGCCTCTGAAAGGAGCATTTAAATTGCCAAAGTCACACAGTAACACAAACCAACTATAATTGTTAGAGGCAGCGGTCGACCAGCAGCTCCTGTGTTCAGGGAGCCAAAATTACTGTTTTTGTCAGTGGAGTCTGGTGACACTGACAAGAGTGTAGATGCGGTACTGAAGCCGTTAACAGCTTAGCCCTTTTTAAACAGGAGTTGTGCAAATTTGTAGGAAAGCCCAATCAGTCTTTTTTCAGCGTTGGCAGTATAAAAACAAAATCAGGGAGTGCAGCAAAATGCTGCCTACCTACTTTTGTTTATACAGAATGCGCCTTTTTCAGGGCAATGGGGGGCGTGAGCAAGTAACACAACATGTAGCTCAGTGTGTGACGTAAACAGTGACGTGGGAAGGAAGCCGCGGCTGGTCAGTCCTTCGGTGATTCTCTCGTAAGTCGGCCCGTTCTTCACCGTCCCCGTCATTTGACGGTTAATGGCCTCTTCGTTTGCGAGGACAAGGAGGGCGCGCAATTCCTTGTCTCCCCAGTTGCTCATCTTTACAGTGTCTGTCCGGTTTGTGTTTCCCTCTTGCTACTAGCTGCTCGCTAATTCCTGCTATCAGCTGTTTCCTGTTAGTTCCCCTGCTAGTGGGTCGCACCTGCAGCGTCATCAACAGCTCCTCCCACAAGTCTTCAACAGCCCCTCCCGTTGCAGAAGGTCGCCTCGGTCTGTTTAAACTAAAAGGGTTCCGCCAATATGTCTACCCTACGAGGCGGAAAATTGGGCACCTCAGATCAACTCGCCAGTCCGGCTCTGTGTGTCTAAACACTCGCAGCTGGCTGGTAAAACAGCCCAACATTTGCTGAAAATCTGGCAGTGTAAAAGGGGTTTTTCTCTCTGTCTGAATGGGCTGGCTAATGGAAAGGTAAAGCAGTAGAAATACTCTCAATATAGTGTAGCCTTAAATTGATATGGATCTTTGTAGGTGTTCTTTTAGGTGGCTAAAATATATTTGCTGTTTCTGTGTCAGACTCCAGCCTCCAAACTGGTTGTGAGCAAACTGATTATTATAGATATCTCATACAACCCCACTTCAAAATATCTGAACTATCCCTTTAACTTCTTAAAACTCAGGGTTAACTAGCAGATGTTGCTTCCACATTAGAATAAACTCACTACAATCACGTTGCTGCCTTTTGTCTCTCCCTGAATGTGATGCAATGTCACCAAAACTCCAAGCTTTTGAGTCCATGACGCAGAGTACAGTGTGACATCTAAACAAGCCAAACAAGCCAGTGTAAACCACAACAAGTCAGACCAAAGAAAAGGTGTGATTTCACCCTTAATCTGCTGTCACTCACAGTCATCCTAAAGTAATCTCACTCACTGTGGGCAATGCTGCAGCAACATGAGACATTATCAGGGAGAGAGTTTGCTGTTTCCTGTGATCGTCACAACTTTCATTTCCAGCTGCGTCATCTTTCCTAAGCTGTTTGTCACTTAGTGTACACAGGAAGACCTCAACAATATGGGCTAATAATAGACTTTGTAGCTTTCAGTTCAAAGGTCATCTTGAAGTGTTGTCCAAGAGGAGCATGCTACAGCAGTAATCTGAGCCAGTCTGTGATCGCCCATATTGATTATGAACTTGGACAGTAATGTGATCTTGGACTATCACCCCCGATAGCTGCTATCACATGTTTGATATCAAACACTGTCATATACTAGTTTCCTTTTAGGGCACTGCCAAAGTCAATCTACATGTCAGAGTATAAGACATGTAGGCATGTACAGTGGCCAGGAAGTGGACCAACCCTGCAATTACAGCAAACATGGTTCTACTTTTAGCCGTCTTGACAAGTCATCACTCCACCCAGCTCTGACTCTTCTTTCACCTTGCTTTTCTTGAATCACCTTCTCACTCCAGCCATGGCATCACTCGTTTTCCAGCTGCTAGCTCAAAAGCTCTGGAGTTCAAGACGCACTTGACACTGACGTGTGAAGGAAGAATTGTACACATTGATATGTGGGAGTTTAAAGGCATAGTTCAGATCTTTTAAAGTGGGGTTGCATGAGACACGTGTCTACAGTCGGTGTGTTGTCCACAGTAGATAGTGGTCAGCGCATCCCCAGTTTGGAGAAGCAGACAGGAGTACTACCATGGAAGCTAAGCAATGCACTGCTGTGGATGGGGGCAGCAATAAAACATTTTAGCCACCTAAAAAAACAATAACAGCTTAAGTGTTTGCTATATTGAGAATGTTTTCAGTGCGTTACTTTGACGCAGACAGCATGTTCAATGGGGGAAGCCATTAACAGCTTTAGTTCCCCATCTGTGTTCTCCTCCAAGCCACCAGACTCCATTGAGAAAAACAGTAATTTTAGCTTGCTAAACACAGGAGCTGCTGGCCTACTGCTGCCTCGATCAGTTAGATTGTTTGTGTAATTGTGTGACTTTGGTAAATCCAAGCCAACCCCTTTAAACACCGAAGCCACACATTAACACAGACAAACTAATAGATCGAGGCAGCAGTAGAACAGCAGCTCCTGTGTTTAGCAGTTGTTAAATTACTGTTTTTCTCAATGGAGTCTGGCTTTGAAGAGAGCGATGAAACGGTTTCAGTTCCCCGTTGGAAATCACAGTCTGACAACAAGGTAAAGCGATGAAAATATTGTAAATATACTGTGAACTTTATCTGACATAGATTTTTTTTATGGCTAAAATTTGTTTTTGTTTTTTTGATGATCCCACAGCAGTACATTTCTGAGCTTCTGTGTCAGTACTCCTGCCTGCTTCTCCAAACAGGGGGCACTCCGACTGACATCTACCATATGTAGTTTCTCATACAAGCCCACGTCAAACAATCTGATAACAATAAACTGGTTGATTGTATTTTCAGCCTGGCCAGTTTCCCATCTGGTTCTACTGTCAATAACAAAACACATAACAGAGTCAGATATCTACTCGGTGCTTTCTAGGAATGGAGCATTTTTTGAAAGGCAGTTTTTGGTTCAGAGAAAGATGTTTGCTCTGAAAGTCACGATAGAGAGTTAAACAAATGCCTGAAGTGTATTGTCACTAAGCCTTATTGTTTTGCAGCACACCTTAAGTCAGACATTCAACATTAATCAGCTGATGAAAAGAATCCTGTTCTGTAACATTCCTCCCTCCCTGACATACCGATGTGTTGAAGATTAGCCGCTGTCTTTCTGCCTCCCTCATTCCAGACTTATCAAGTCTGACTGCAATGAATCCCTTCATTGTCTCAGCGTTCATGCTAACATCTTGTTCTAGTTATTCTCAGGGCTCGTAGGCTCATACTGCAGTGGATATTTGAGTCTGTGCGTTTGGTTCACCATTGTTTTTGAGAAATAGTGAACACATGCTCTGTTGATTTGTCTAAAAGAGAGGAAAACTAGCATGGGAAAATATTGAAATACTTAAAGTTTCCTGTGTTGACATCTTTCTCGTCCAACCAAACACCTGAAGTCCAAACAATGATCACAGAGTTACGATTGCATCCTGCTCTGTCAGTATTGAATCCCCACCCTGTTACTCTTTGGATTTGCAGCATCATGGCCTGTCTGTGCTGCGTCAAACAACAGATTTTCTGTGTGAAAGATGAGTTTATTATGAGGGATGACAGATTGATCTTGTGGTGTGGAAGAAACTGAAGCTGAATCAAACTGGCACTCTTGCACCTCTTGAAAGTTGTGGCTGTTATTTGAATGTGTCTTTCAGTTTGCCGTCAGGTAACACAGGGATGTTTTCACTGTTGCTAAAAAGATTTGCATATCATGAAAGCTGCATTTTACCAGGCTGCAGGCAGCTTCAGAGGAATTTTGTAGTTCACAATGAAATGTCAGCATGCCAACATGCTAGAATAAGACTGACAATTTAGTAAAAGTCAGCATGTTAGCATTGTCATTGTGTGAGCATTTTAGCATTTAGCGTAAAGCCCCACTTTGCCTAAGGACAGCTTCACACAGCCTGTTGTGGCTTAGCCAAAAGGCCCAGACACACCACACCAACATCAAGAACTAGCAGTGACGAATGCCGACTGTTGCATCATCTCATGTTGCCTGTGTCACTGCCAAAAAGTTGTACTTGAACAAACCACAAAGGCTACAGCTAAAGTTCTGCACCTGCATGAGAGGAAAAAACTCCATACCAGCAGGCAACAGTAGTCTGTATAGTAGTGACTCAGAGTGAGATTCTCTACAATATTAATAGTTCAACTAAATAAAATCTATCACAAATTACACATTTAAACAGCTCCCAAATACAAAATATGTCTCCTGGTATCTATATATATAAATCAACAGCTGATTTCCTTCTCTTTTTGTTATTTTTTTTCCCACCTGGACCTTTATGCTCTGCCATTTCTCCTCTAATCATCACGCTGTTATGATACCACAACTATCGCATATTCACATATATGGAGGCCGTTTGTCAGCAAGTCGAAATATCGTGAGTATCATGACAGGAATTTTTCATATGATATTTAAAATTACACAGGTATTATCAATCAGAGTGATATTATTCATTGATGGGATTTGCTTTCCTGACACTGAAGGCGTTTCTCGATACCAAGTACGCCAAATTCGGACTTGCACATTTGGGAGTTCTGACTTGGCAAGTTCGACTCTGGAGTACAAACTCCCAAGGATGGCTGCCATTGCCGCTGGTCTGTGAGAAATGCATTCTGGGATACCTGGCTGTCAAAAGTCCACACAAGTCACCTCCCGATGCATCCCCGATGAAACGGACAGAGCATGTTCACAACCAGACATTTGGACTCTACTTGGCTGGATGCGGACTTTGAATTGGAACAGTACTTGGGCAGCGACTGATGACGTTTCCCAAGTCCGGAAGAACACAAGTACAGGCAAGAACGCAGATTGAGAAGCGCCTTGACTCAACGTGCAAGTTAGCCGAAAAAAGGCCGACTAAGGTTGACTAGTGCCAACGGTGCTGGACACACACACTCACCTGACATTGACTGACAGCTGACGTGTGTCACAGCCTGTAGACTGTGCGCAGTGTTCTTACTGAGCGACACGGCAACAGGTTACAAGTCATTTTCAATGGCAGTCGATGACATGAAGCTACAAAATGACTCCCAACACTTGTCGCTGTGTGAAGGGCTACAGATCGGAAGTTGAGCAGGCCTCAACCTTTTCAACGCTCCAGTGATGTCAAATGTTTTTGTTTCTGTCTGTGATGCTATTCAGCAAAGTTAGCTGACACATGCTAGCCTTCTTTGTATTGCAGTTCACACAGGGATGCAGTGGGGCAGCGAAATGTGATTTTAACATGCAGCTCAGACATTGATCACATGCATAGATTTTTTTTAACTTGAGAAAACGTTGGGTGGAGGTGCTTTGTTGCAAGGAGCAGACACACACAAGCCCAGGATGACATAACTATGTCAACGCGCACTTGAGCAACACTTCAAGGGCGACTCAGAGATAATGCAGCTGGCCACTGTTGTTTTTTGTCGCTCGTTGTGTGAACACAAGATCAGTCTTGTTAAGGTGCATTTTTAAAGAATGCTTTTAGCACCACAAGTGGAATTGTCTTCCATTGTATTGTGACAGGTGCCTCTAATTAACAGCAGATATTTGCACGGCTGGACACCTTCAGGGAAACTCACCCTTTAGTATTTGGAGAAAGTGAATGGTTTTGCTGTGGAATCTCAAAATACACACTCCTCAAGTTTCATTTAAATACTTTTGTGCTGTCTAGTAGCTGCTCAGCGGGCATTCATGCACCTTCTTTAATTATTTGAAATAAATTACAACAGTGAATCTTTTATTTTCGACTGAGAAAACCCAAAAGAGGGAGCTTTAAATCTCTTTTTGTTTTCTTCCACCAGAAAATCCAGACAATCCCTCTGCAATTGGAAGAGGATGGGACGTCCCGCCGTGCTTTTGTTTCCTGTGAGAGGAAAACTTCAATCACTTCGACGCTTCATCTTCAGTGGGCCGTGTAGTGTTTCATGAAATCTCTTTAGGTGTCGTCCGATTGGTCCTTCATTCCAGTGTGAGGACCTGCCAGCCAATCCGCATCTGCCTGGGTGGGTGCCATTTCCTCTTCCCACCAGCTGCTGCAGTCAATCAGCTTATTCAGCAGCATTAGTGTGTATATGTGTGTGTGTGTGTGTGTGTGTGTGTGTGTGTGTGGCCCCCCTTCCCTCTCCCTCCCCTCTTTTTCCTCTACAAAACAACCGGCCCACCCTCCTTTCCACTCCCCTCCCCCCTTCCCTCACATACTCACACACTGTTTTTCTCTCTCACACACACACACACTCAGTCGTGAATATACCTTCACACACTCCTGCCACATGAGGCCCAACAGCAGTGTGCTGTGTGTGAGTCACTGGAGAAAGTTACACCAGTGTGTGTGTGTGTGTGTGTGTGTGTGTGTGTGTGTTTTCAATGCAGCAGCGTCTCCTCTGCAGCAGATTTCTACTTCACTTGGGACAGAGCTCAGCAGGACAGAGACAGAGAGGAGACCGACGTTCACCACAGCTGAATCCAGGATTCTGCACAAGGTAATGATGTCTGATCTCATGTAAAGGTTTTCAATGATACACTGTCACTTAATGCACACTGGTGTCATGTCTGTGGTTTTGGTTTTGCTGGTGTGCAGCAAATGTCTCAGCCTGGAGCTCTGACACACTTGTTTTGGGATGTAAAATAAGTTTTTGCGTCAGGTTGTGACTGAGAGTCATCTGTTTTGTTCTGTGTGCTGGTGTGTCATAATTGTAGTAACGTAATGGTTAAGAGAGGTCAGTGGTTGCACCAATATGATACCTGAGTTTCAGTAACTGTACGTAAATGATACTATACTTTAAGAGGTCTAAATATGTTTTTCTACAGGCTTTTTCAGTCCAAGTTCTTTAAGGAACAGTGTGTGTAATTTAGGGAGATTTAGTGGTATCTGGCAGTGAGGATTGCAGAATGCAGCCAGTTGAAACTTCTCCAAGTGAGGATCCCTTCAGTATAAAGTGTTCAAGGGGTTTTTACTGGGAGCTGAATTATCCGCAGAGGTCTCTTCCTCTCCAAAACAAACAGACTAGGTGATATAAACCGGTGATAAAAACACTGAAGAAAGCAGTTTCAGGTAAAAGAATCAGTGTCTTCTTCACGCTCTTGTCGCGGTGGGGCTTCTAACTACGGTGGTCAACATGTAAATGCAAATGGGCCTATCTTAGAGCCAGTGTTTGGTTTGTCCCTTCCGGGCTACTGTAGAAACATGGTCGTCCAACATGGTGATCTCTGTAGACGAGGAACCACTCCCTATGTAGATATAAACAGCTCATTCTAAGGTAAAAACACACAACAGTTCTTATTTTCTGTGGATTATACACCAAAGAAAACACACTTATTATATTCCATTTCTTACAATATGTCCCCTTAATCCCACACACTGGACCTTTAAATGTTAAGGTATATCTAAACAGAAGCAGCATGTGTTAACTTGGCCTAAAAATTTAAAACAGACAACATTATGATTTAGATAAGGAACTATCACATCAAGCAGAGATCCCAGCTTTCAGTTTTGATTCTTGCTGCAGACTGATTCTTGTCAGCACTAAAAACATAGTGAGGTTTGACACCCAGTTCTGGCTGTTATCCCATCACTGGGTCACCATATGCTGATAAACCCCTAAAACCTTTGTTGGAGGGAAAAGATAAATCTGTGAGGTGGGATTAAATCAGAATGCAGGACAATAGCTACAATCACAAAAGAGTTGTGGACACCTGAAACATACAATGCAGCCCAGTGCAGCCATTCACATAATAACAAAAAATAGGGAGAACATTTTATGCTGTGGAAAATATTGTAAACTTCTCCCAGTATAACCCAGTAGAACCACAAACTATAGCTCTCGGTTAAGTTGAGTCACCACTTCTCTAAAACAGAAACTGAACCTTATAAACTTCATGACAGGATGAATTAATGCAGCGCTGCTGTATGAGTCATTTCCCACTTTATTAGCTCCACCCAGCTAAATGTAGTACTGAGTGTATGTATATAATGAAACAGAGTAAAATGTATGAGAAGCAAGTGTTTTTTCTTCTTCACATGAAATGGACTACACTTAAATGGGGCTTTTCTAGTCTCACGACCAGTTAAAGCGCTTAACACTATGAGTCACAGTCACCCATAACCATAACTATAACCAATCAATAACCATTCGCACACCCTCACACACTGATGGAAGAGCCTTCAGGAGCAATTTGGGGTTCAGTATTGTACCCAAGGACACTTCAACATGCGGACCGGAGGAGCCGGGGATAGAACCACAGATCTTAGAATTGGTGGACGATCCGCTCTACCTCCTGAGCCACAGCCGTTGAACAGATTCCCTCTGTGCACTAGCTACAACACATGCAAAGGTGTGACATTGTTGCAGAAACATATCAGTTTATCATTTAGTGACTCAGTTTAGGAACAGCATGACCTCACTCAGCTCAAATAGACAATGAAAGACAACAGTTTGATTGTGTTTATTCATGCAGCAGCGTGCAGCTGAAGGTGAGGTCTTAGTAGCGGTGGACTAATAGGGCTGAATATTGAAACTCTAGTTATTTGGTACCAACTGAAATGTGTTTATAGAACACAGAGTATGAAAAGCGTGATGTAGAAAAAACAGTTAATAATTCTCAAAGTTAGATCTGCAATGATTTATCGATTCGTTGTATACCACGAAACTGCGATATTTTCTGCGACTTATCGTACTGTAAAAATACCATATTTGCAACCCTAGTTGACATTTTTTAGATAAGTTGCCAACTGATTTAAAACCAATTCATTAGTTTATTTAATTTATTAAAGGAAAAAAGGAAAAATTCTCTGATTCCAGTTTCTTAAATGTGAATATTTTCTGCTTTCTTTACTCCTATATGACAGTTAATTGAATTTCTTTGGGTCGTGGCCAAAACTAGACATATGACAACATCATTTTGGGCTCTGGAAAACAATGATCGACATGTTTCACCATTTCCTGCCATTTTATATCAAACAACTAATCAGTTAATCAAGAAAATTAATCAACAATGAAAATAGTCATCAGTTGCAGCCCCACCCAAAGTCAGGTATCACTAAGGTATTGCTCTGGTATCGATTGTGAAACTCAGGTGTGATACCAGCTCTAGTATTAAAAACTGCCCAACCTCTTCTGACTATGATACATGGAGGAAACTCTGAGCCTAGTTGCTAAAGTCTTCATGAGTAACTCCTCTCATAGACACTCTAATTTAATCACTGAGTTAAAAATAAACCTGCCATCACAGTATGTCCTTTAAAGCCACAGAAGGCTGATCAGCTGAACCATGTAATGGCTAATTGTCACAGCGGCGGCAACATTAGTCGCTCTGTAAGCAGCTTGCCAGCCTCCCGGTGGGCCGACACGTGGTGCTCCAGCTCAGAGGGTCCATGACAATGCATCCCCCCCCCCCCCCCCCCCCCCCCCCCCCCCCCCCCCCCCCCCCCCCCCCCTCTACATGTTTGTGTGAAGTAAACAGTCAAAACAAAGCCATCACAACTGCAGCTCTGCTGTCTGTGCAGTTCATCTTCATATGAGAAATCAGAGTCAGGAATGTTTCCTTATCTGCCCTGATATTCCAGGAATTTTTATGTGGAAGACATATCGTGTACCAGATGTTTAGAAAAACTTTTCTCAAACTCTGTCTTAACTTTTATGGTCTTTTAATAACAGATAGAGGGTATAGAATGGAAATTGAGCTTTTGTGACATTTAGGGCCAATCCCAATTCTCTTCGCTTGACCTTACCCCTTGGTTTCAAGTGCACTCGCCAGATAGATTCCCCTCAATGACGAAGGGGTAGTGTTGAGGGGTAAGGAATTTACCTACGAATTGGGACACCAACAGACGTGTTCACCTGCTTCTTGCACAGAGAACTCTGTAGATATTCATGTCGGCTACATCGTGAATTAGCGATTTTCAAGCATTCATATTCTAACTCAACGCTTACAGATAACAATGCATATACAGAAACCTAACACATTCCGACATATTCGGGAATTTTTGCGTGCTTATTTGCGAAAATAGTACTTAAATTGTGCGATGGCTTTCTCATGGAGGCTGCCATCTCCCTGGAAAACTCGCCTGGCTGGATAGTCAATGCAACCTGGGAAATTCAATCTTCCCCTCAGTTGAGATGGGTTCGTAGGTGTGCATCGCACAGCCCTTCAAATTAAGGGGGGATTTTAAGGGCTGAAAAGCACTTCCCTAAAGTTTGGGACACCCTAGCCCTTCGTGGGAACGTGCAAAAACAAGGGCTAGGGCCAATTTTGAGGGGAAGTGTAAGTATTGGGACGGACTCTAACTCACTTCTGCACTGCGTTCATTTTAGAGAAATATGTGCTTTAACTGAACAGGTTGCTCATGTAATACTGAATGTCTCCAACAGCATGGCAGCTTTCTTCAACTAATTCAGTGTGTTATTAGGGCTGAGCAATTAATAGAATTCTAATTCCAATTATAGTAATGGCCTCCAACATGATGAAAACAACATAATCGAGATAAAACAGTTATTGTGCTGCATTCTGTTTCACAGTGATGCTCTCATTTGTCTTGTGATATAAATCCAGTGCACCTCTTTCCTTTACAGCGCTGCTCTCAAAGTTGCCAACATGGTGACTTTCTTGCTAGATTTAGTGACTTTTCAGACTCTTAATGACTTTATTTCTAAAAAGCAACGAGCAACAAACTTAGAGATGTATCCAGATAATCAGGGAGACAGAGAGAAATATGTTTAAATGCGTGATATCTTAATTCCTATGCAGGCTGCTCAGCGTAAACACAGTCCCTGGCTCTTCTGCCAACAGTGTGGGGTCTTTCCCTCTCCTCTTACATCATGGTTACATTTCTATATTGTTTATTTTATTTATTTATCTCTCTTTTTTTGTACATTTTTGTTCCTCAGCTGAATTCTATTTAAAGTTCAAGACATTTTAAAAGTTTAATAAATGCAGAATGTTAGGTTAAATAGTCGTGACCTCAAAGTTGACCAACATATTCGTGATTTTGATTTCTGCCATAACTCAGCAGCCTTATTTCATGACCTTACAATCTGTGTTTATTCACCTGGTCATGTTAATGTGCCAATTCTGATATGTCTCTTGCACTGTTTGGACAACACAGCAGTGCAAATACACCAAACACGGGGGAGGGCTTTCAAACCTTAATCTCTGCAACATTCCGGTTCACCTAGCTGTTGCTGGTGTCTGTTCTGATCTTTTTATACCACTCCTGTATTGAGCATTGAAGTTTAAGTTTATAACTTACTTCACTCAGCAAAAGACGTCAAGTGTTTTCTTTTCTAGTTACAGTTTATAGGTTTGAGTTTTGACTGACCTGAGGTATCTCTTCAGTTGCCAGCATGCTCATTCAAGCTGATGTGTCACCACAGTTAAGTGACTGAGACACAAATATTTGCATTGCCCTTCCTTGTTATCGAGTGTTATTGTAGATCCTGTGTGGTCCATCTGGTTCACACTGGAATGAGGACATTTGACACCATGAAGAGGTTGTCTTTCACACTGAGAGTCAGTAATGAAGTACACTGATGTCTTGTTAAAGGGATACTTCACCCACAAAATGACGATTTGTGTATTACTTTCTCACCGCTGGAAATCTTGAATTTGTGAAGTAAACTTTGAGAGAGTAAACGTTGAGCCATGAGAGAACAACAAAGTTTTCTTGACTAATTCAAGGTAACACTGAGTGAGTAATTAATATGCAGTGAAGTATTTCTTAAGGATGGGTGTGCTTTGCAGTGGAAAACTGTGGTCCAGGTTAAAAATCAGGGGGTTCATCTTTTATCTCTTACCATACTCAACTCGATGTACTCTATGCCTTTGAATGTCAAAAAATGCTTTTATAATATTTGAGAGAATCTTAACGGTGAGTATGAAGAAGATTAAGAGCCTGTTTCTCATGAAAATAAATTCTTTCAAAGTACAAAACTTGAAAACACATTCTCTAAACAGTGTTTCTCTTTGACAGTGATCTCCATCATGGAGGTGCCCAGGAGGCCTCAACCCTCCTTCACACTGGCTCTCCCTAAACTGACCTCGTCTGCTCTGTCTCCCCTTGGAGCTGTGGAGAAGGTTGCCAAGAAAGATCCGATGAAGGAGAAGCTGCAGGAGAAGAAGGATGGAGCCACAAAGGGGGATCAGTTTGGAGAGGAGGCGTTCAGCACAGAAGAAGAGTCGGATGTGTCTGTGTTTGTGGAGGCACCAGCTGAGACGTCAGAACTTGAGGGTACAAATACAAAACTCTCCTCACAGGACAGTTTCTCAGAGGACAGCTCGATGTCTGAGGAGAGGTTGGCAGAGGAGGCAGAAGAGGCTAAGAAGAAGCGTGAGGAGGAGGAAGCAGCAGCTAAAGAGAGGGCAGCCCAGAGACAGATGCTGGCCATAGAGGAGCTGGTCCAGTCTGAGAGGAATTACCTGCGACTGCTGCAAGTGAGCACTGTGACCATCAGGAGCAACCTGCAGAAACTACAGGTAGGAATCAGGGGTCTGCAGCATTTAGTAGCATTGTATGGAATAATTAATACTATTGATTAGGGCTGCAAATAACAGTTACATTTAGTATTATTCTTTATAACTTTTTTACCTGTGAAACATCAGCAAATAGTGAAATAAAATGCCCATCAAGCCCTGTGATCTCAAAGCGGAGGCCCTCAAAATTCTTGTGTTGTCAGTTGCCAACAAGTGATCGATAGTGTGCAGGATTTTTTTGACTTTTCAAAATGGCAGCCACTTGGAAACCTCTTTCCTCACAATGTCTAACTTTTACTGTGGTGCTCTTTTACAATATAGATTACAGATAGTGAAGTATTTGAATTATAACATTGGAGCACAGCTACATAACTGCCCTCGCAGTACTTTAGTTCAGGCATTTTCAGGTACTGTATCAACTCACTAAACGCACCATACTTTGGAGGGTTTGGGTATTAGGCTTGTCACCATACCAGAATTTCAGTAGTCGATACCAACACCAGTGAATTTCCACAATTCTTGATACTCAAGAGAACTCATGTATTTCTAAATCCACTACTTTATTAAAACTGTTTCAAACTTTGAAGTCAATCCAAATAATGTAACGTATATTTCAGGATAAGTATACCATAACACAAGTGATGGTAAATTGAAACCCACTCACCTTGAATTCTTTAAACAAGCCAGGGTGTCTGTCTTTTAAGTGTTTAGCCAGGTGTTTCCTCCTTTGGTCTGGAAACTTTGGAGGCACCGTTTGCACACTGGTTTTTGCAAGTTTACAATAACTCCGCTTTCATCTGCCTCAAATGCAAAATATCTCCACACACGACTCCTAATACCTGACTTTTCGACAAGCCGAGGTGTTGTGGCTCCAGCAGCACTTGTAGAAGCCATTGTTTCTGGCAGAGATGATGGAGAACAGGCGTTCTTCTTCGGCACTCGTCCTCGGCACAGACTGACGCACGTATACTGCCCCCGTCAGTTCTAGCAGGAATCGACACGGCCTGCTGAGGGCAAAGTTGTATCTTGTACTTATGGTACAGAAAAAAAAAAAAAGGTACGGACGTATTATTTGCGTGTTGGCATTGACTTGGTACCAAAGTATCGGTTCACATGACAACCCTAATGTACAGTAGGATTGCAATATTGAATCTAAATGATGAACAAGCATTCTTAAAGCTGGGGTAGGCTGTTTTATTTTCACATCATTGGGTAAAAATAGAATAAACTTTGAGCATATTGTAATTCAAGTAGTCTGAGAGAACACTAGTCTTCTGCACTTCCTCTTGACTCTGTTTTTAGGATTTAGAAAATCTAGCCCGATCACTGGTCATTTCAGAGAGAGGTTGCTCCTATTGGCTGTTGAACAAATGCAGATATATGTGCACGTCCTTTGGTGAAAGCCTGATTCAATGGTGGAGAATCCTGCAGGAATAGTATTCTAGCATTGACAACAACTGCCTAGCAACCCGAAAAAGAAGATGAACTTATCAAAAAGAGAGTCTGACAATGAACAAAATAAAACGTGTCACCATTAGAGATTGAGAGAAAAGTTTGCTCATAGTTTAGCTCTCTGCTGACCAACTGGCTAATTCAAGTTGGCATTTATGTCGCCAATGTTAGAACCTAGAACCACAATGTGTTCTCCGCCTTGGTCGAACCCCCAGTCAGCAGCCATAGCAACCCGAACTCAGTCAGCCCAAACTCCAGCTCCAGGGGAGCTGACAGCCCTGACTCCCTGACTGTCTGACTGACAGGTCAGACAAAAATGAAGCTGACCCTGAATTAACGATCTGTTAGTAAATGTTAGAGCATGTTCAGCTCTGTGTTTTGAATCTTTATTTTGGGACAATTCTTCTCATTGTGCCTTTTAATTAAAAAGTAATCACCACATGTTAAATTGACACGAAGCATCCAGAGGAAGTGTTGTGCTGAGGCCGCCTGCTGGATTATTATCATCAGCTTTTCATTACGTCGGAGGTATTGCTTATTACTGCTAAATAATCATTTATTATCGCTGCTGTAATGAAACGAGGCCTTGTAAAACATAATGGAATCAGACTTTACGGGCTGGAAGGACCGAGCTGTGGATGAGTATGGAAATGATAACACACTGAGGGAACGGTAGATGAAGGGAATAAAATGAAAACAGAAAGGAGGAATGGAGGGGCTAAATTATGGGCTGATGACCTGTTAAAAGAGGAGATTAACTGGTGAATAGAAGAACAGTTGATGCGGTGGACATTGAGAACGAGATGTAGTATTGTCGAATTTAAAATTGAGATACAAAATGCAAATGTGTGAACATAAACTTCAGGTAAATGGTGTTATAAACATGGGTAACATAACATGATGGATGGCAGGAGAAAGACCGAGTGGAGCAGCACAGTGAAGGAAAGCTGGACAGAGAAACAGAATAAATATGTGAGTGAATGGTGCCATTGTGAGACAGGAGAGTTGCCGTTTTGTTTTCTGTGTCGATGTGCAGATTGTGCAGTCTTCAGCAGCGCCCACTGTTCTCTCATTAGAATAGAATGGAGCTAAACAGAGCGGCTCTCTATCAGCTGTGCGTTGGCATTTTTCTTGTGTGGGAGCAGACACACATGCATATGTTGCACAAGATAAACATTTCATTTGAATATGTGAATAAATCTTACTTGTAAACTCAACAGTTTTATCACAATAACACAGAAACCTCAGTTTTGGAAGGAAAGGATGCTGCAGTCATCACAGTCACAGTTATTTTAGTTTTCTGATGTATATAGCTCAGTAATCTATAAAAACTAATACCTGTTGTCACTGAGCTTATATAGCTAACTATTGACTATTGAGGGTTGAAGTGGTTCTGTTGGCTTCATCACTCTGATGAGAGAACAAGTTTCAGCGCCTCCAAATTTTAGGCTATGGCTGTCTGTCAGAAAACAAGGGGTTACCTCCTCTTGTTTGGGAGAGAGTTACTGCCTGGAGTGAAAGGGGTTCAAGTATCTCGAAGTCTTGTTCACAGGTGAGGGTAGAATGGATCGTGAGATGGATCAGCAGTTTGATAGGCCTGTCCTGGTGAAGAGGGAGCTGAGCCAGAAGGCAAAGCTTTCGATTTACTGGTCCATCTACGTCCCAGCCCTCACCTATGGTCATGAGCTCTGGGTAGTGACCAAAAGAATGAGGTCATGGATACAAGCCGCCGAAATGAGTTTCCTCCGTGGGGTGGCTGGGCTCAGCCTTAGAGATAGGGTGAGGAGCTCGGACCTTTGGAGGAAGCTCGGAGTAAACCTGCTGGTCCTTCTCGTTGAAAGAGGTCAGCTGAGGCGGTTCAGGCATCTGATCAGGTTGTCAGCTCCCATCAGTGGTGTTCTGGTTACATTGCACTGATGAGGGGCCCCGGGCCAGACCCAGAATATGCTGGAGGGATTATGTATCTCATCTGGCCTGGGAATGCCTCAGAGTCCCCCAAGAAGGGCTGGAAAGTGTTGCTGAGGAGAGGGGCTTCTAGAGTACTTTGCTCAGCCTGCTGCGCCCAGTGACCTGGCTGAAGATAAGCAGTTGAAAATGGATGTATGGATGGATTTTGTCAAACACAGAAGTCATGTGATGATATTATTCCTGTTCTTAGTCCTTTTTTACAGAGATCACGCTGCTATGAAGTCCTGTTGTCATGCTGCCTTTGCATTTTTACACAGAACCAAACGACATCGCTCCGCTCTCATGTGTGATTTTAGACAGCATCCCGGCATCGCAGAATTGGCCTCTAGTGTGTCATATAACATATGCATCAGCAGCACTTTATAAACAATAACATGACAATAACATGACAATGACAATCATTTACTGTTACTGTTAAGTGGTGGCTGATCTCGTCCTTTGCTCAGAGGGTAAGGAGTTCTCGGACATCATTATATTTTCAATTTGCGGACATTTTCGGCTTCTTCCTCTTTGAGCCAGCCACTAGCTGCTAACTGCAACTTTTTAAATCTCCCATAACTCGTTGTCAAAATGTGTTGCCCATGATCCCATCCTGCTGGCTGTCCCATTTATACAGACATCGTTTCAGCGCTGTTACTACCTCTGTTCCCAGCTCAGAGGCGAGACAACTTTGTTCCACAAATCGCAATCGTACCTTATATACAGAGCAGCGAGGCGGTGTAACGGCAAAATATTCCTGCCTTGAATGGGCAGTGTAACAGTGGCCTCTGTGATTTGGGGTTGTACGTAAGATTTTTGTTCTCTCTTCACTTCTTTTCTGTCTCTTTCCCGGTCGAGAATTATGGAGGCTCTGTTGCCAATTATTAAGGACAGGTTTGACAGCATTTTGGGTGCAGGAGGCTCATCTGGCTACACAGAATGGAGACACATTTACAGAAAGAGCAAATTTTAATCCATCAGAATCGTGAAATCTCGAAAGATGATGAGATGGATGACATATGACAATGTGAGGCAGAATCTGCTCTGTTTATTTAACCCACATTCAAAATAAAAAAGAAGGTTAACACTGTACATTTCTGCTAGTTGTGCAGTTTAGTGCTCCTGTGTTGTATGGAGCGGGATAACAAGTAGCTGTGCACATCATATCCAGGAGGTAATATCAGTAAATTTGTGTAAAATACAGACTTTGCTTATCCAGTGTGACTGCGCTGCGTGAAACACAGACATGGGGGGCAATTACTAAATCACATGAGGTCCCCTGGTTATACTAGTCTTGTGCTAATACAAGTTTTGTCTTTGTGTTCTCAGGACTCATTAAACATAATGGAATCAGGCTGTAGCACAAAAATGATAAACCACAGAGAAAGAAAATATGAACATTTTTTTTAAAAAGAGGAAGAGGTATGAACTGAGATTTATATTTTGGGGAAATGAAAGAAAATGATCAAAGAGTAACTCACCAACCTGATCCAACACGCCCACTGTGACCCCGAGGGAGACGCCTTTGGTGGAGTTAAATTATCGTTGCATTTGCATGTATAAGCTTCATATTAGATCAAATCACAGTCCATGATGTTAATTTGTGTATCTCTCTGTCTCACTGCTCACCACAGCCTCCTCCAGCAAACCTGGACAGCATGTTTCTCTACATAGAGGAAGTGATTGACGTGTCCAGTCGACTCCTCAGCCTGCTGGACCAGAAGAAGATTCAGCCTTCAGACCCTCTCTACCTGCAGACGCTCTGTAAGGGATCTCTTGGCCCTTAATGGCCCTACATTTCCACTCTTATCGACTTTGTTACCTTTGTTACAACGTGAGCTTGTTCATCCTTCCACCAGGAAGTGGTGAGATAGATGCTGGTCTAGAGAGGTTTCCTCTCCTCGGATCAGTCGCTCTGGTCAGACGTGTTGACAGGAAACAAATAAAAACTTCACACGTCTTGTTATCTGATGTGGTTTTCACATTCATGTGAGAAGTTAAATGAGTTCACGCTCCCAGCAAAGGTGTCTTCGTGTGGTGGTGGATGCATCTCCAGTTTGATGCACACACAGTAGAGTTTGTTGTTAAAGCTGTGAACCTGGAAATGTGCTATGCATCTGCTGTATCCACACATGATAAAAGTTACAAGTGTATCTGCAGACCAGACTCCCAGACACCATTTTTAAGGAATTAATGACCATGAAATGCCAGCACTTTGTAGATCATTCACAGACTAATAATATTATTTGTGTGGACATTTTAGGCACACCCTGTTCTAAACTGAAACTGGATGTTTAAGGCATAAGAGGAAAATTACCCTTAATGAAAACGCACTTAATGCCTATATTCTTATCTTATATGTGACTGGTAACACAGACAAAAAACAAACCTAACAAATCAGTGGTGGTATTTCGATTCAAGGGTGCAGAAACCAAAAATACTGCAGAAAAAAAATGCAGAAAATTAGACAAAATCAGAGTACAATCATTATTATATTGTGTTAGCTTGCCTAGTTAGTTAGTTAGTTAGTTAGTTTACATTTTTAATACAGAGTTTTAGAAAATGGTGATCTGGAAGGGTTGCAGTGAAAATGAAGGATGTTTTTTAGGGTGTCTGCAGATCCTCAAAATGTCTAAACATGTCTTAAATACGATTTTATTTTTTTATATTGGGTCTTAAAAGTAATTAAACAGTCTTAAAATTGAACTTAATTGCCACAAACATTTGATCTAATGTCATTTATCCATCTTTTAATCTCTTTTGTTTAAATTAGTCAATCTCCTCAGCGTCAAAAGTCCACATTTCTGATTTTACACATTCTTAAACCCACCCCTCAACTGAACCTAATACTGTCTTTTTACTTTATACTTGCATTTACATGTTGGCAAAATGTAGATTAACCTAACTCTAGTACTTACCTTAAAACTGACCTGCAATGCTATATTAAGAAAAAGATGATTTGTTCAAAATTCTGTCTGGTTTCATTTGGTTAAAAATGATTCCAATCTCGTGTCATTAGGCTGTCTGCATGATGGCCATGACGACGCTTAACTGGACGACAAGAGAGAATTGTTCTAACACACAGTCAGTGGTTGTTTGAATGAGAATGGTCGCAGTGTCACTGAAAACATGGATTGTCTTTTACATGATTCCATAAAGAGGTGTCTTTCTAATTTGTATAGATTAGTCAAACCCTTGTCACATTTTGGGTGTCCTTACAAAAACTGAAGTCTGAAATCTGAGCATGATTTCTTCATACAAATAAGTAAATATATGTTTTTCCTCCGTGACAGGTGATTCGTTCCTCAGCCTGACTTCAGACATCGAGGCAGCCTATAAAGAATACCTGGCCAACTACAGCCAGGTCACAGTGGTGGAGAACAGCTACAAACAGAAGGAGACGCTGTGGAATGAGATTGTCAAAGTCATCAAGGCCTCAGCGTAGGTTTATGTCATTTCCTGTTGCTTATCACTGGGACCAGACATATTTAATTACAACTGAATGAACAGTAGACCTAACATGTATACGTTTTTGTTTTTGGTATTGAAGTTAAAACTGTTCATTGTTGCCCTTCATCTCTCCAGGCCTGAAGTAAACGCCACCTCTCTGAGTTTCTTCTTGGTGATGCCGGTGCAGCGGATCGCCCGGTACCCGCTCCTCCTGCAGACCATCCAGAAACACACTGACAAATCTCACCCAGCGTATGCACTCCTGGAGCAGACCGCTCACACCTCCATCGCCTTGAACTGTCGCATCAATGAGTACAAACGCTTCAGAGAAGTTGGTAAGAAATGTTCATCAAATACACTGTTATCATATAACCTCATTACAGAAAATATTATGGTATTCCCTTTTATGGTCATCCCCCATTTGTGATCCAGTTAGTGCAACAGGACACTGGTACATCTAGGGTCAAAGATTTAATTCCCAGTGTAGCACAACAGGTAGAGGAAGGCAGCTACAGTGAATACATTGCTCAGAGTCACAGTTAAACACAAGGACAGGTGCTGTACTCCAGATTAACTGTCCCTCACACTACGATTGCAGCTGACAAATACAAGAAGACGGAGACTCTGACCATAAAGGACAAGATCAACCGTCTCAACACCCACAGCATCGCCAAGAAGACAGCGAGGCTCAGCCAGCACTTCAAACATGAGACTGGAATAGTACCAAAGGTAGGATAGACGTTTAATGACCCTTATTTAAAAAAACATCCTCCCTGCTGAAGTGTGCTTCAGCAACATAGAGCTACCTTACTCCCTGACAAATGACTGTCTAAGTTTACATGCACACTAATATTCCGCTATTATTCCATGTAAGACTGTATTCTGGATTTGACGCGGGTCATTTAAACAGCATATTCCATTTAGATACTTTGAATTAGGTGTCTTTCCAAATTAAACATTTTGCAACTAAGACGTAGGATATGACGATATTTGAGTTTTAATAGCATTCCTTGGAGTGTACTGTATATCCTCCTGAGACCCTGCATCCTCACATGAGGACATCACATTTTGGGTTTACTTGACCTTATACTTTATTCTGTTTAACTTAGACCTGTTGTCCTTGTGTGTGGACACTTTTTTGTCCCATGTAGTGGTAATGAGACCACAATACACTAATCCATGTAAAAACAAGATGGCAGCCATCTCTGCCAAGTCAGTCTGCAGCCGATCCCGACACAAAAGTGGACAAGGTCCAAAACCTGATCACATTTAATGGCTAAAACATGTTTATTTATTATTAATAATGTTTGTAGTTTGATATGACAACAAACGTGACTTATATTAGAAGCAATAACAAGGGAAGTACTCGTTTGAGGACATTGGGACTTAATTATGTCGACAGTGTTTCATTTTTTTATGCTTATCAGGTCCTATTAATCCTAAATAGTTAGGAGAAATTCAAAATGCATACCAAACAAATGTACGGGTCTCAGGAGGATCCAACGCCTTTGGAATATGCGTCTCAATCGGAGTTCTTACCGCAGTTTGCGACACGGCCTCTTGTCTGTTTATGGTCGGCTCTGTGCGTTGTCATGGATACGTTGTACACAAATCAACTCGCCAGTAGTTTGAATGGCTGGAGTCGAAGTGCATGTCAAAAACAAAAGCCCACATTTCTGGTCGGAAGGAGAAAAACGCCTACTTAAAACATTATGAATGAAGTGGGTATCAACAGGTTTTGGATATGCTCAAATATCACAACGCTGACCTTTTCAAGAAGGTGGCTGAAGGAATGAAAGAGGGAGGCTGTGTTCACACGGTCCAACAAGTCCGCCACCGGTATGACATAGTTCTATTTTGAAGCAAAGAAGAAAAATGTGTTAACGCATTAGTTACTTTTCTGGAGGCTTATACTGAAGGAAACTCTTCCACATCTATGAGCCACAGACAGTGTTCCAGAAGACACTCCCTCTCTACAGCTGCAACGCAGTGGTTAATGATTAATCTGTGTTTTACCTGCAGAGAAAATGTCTTTTATGACCTGTTATTGAACCTGCTGTTTGCTCCGGCCTGCTACACCTCGTTTTGCCACAGTTACACTTGTCAGTACAATAAGATCTTTCTGGTCTGATCGAGAGTTCACACCCATGAGCATCCTCACACGCTTCCTGTGGCTTAATTTTTAATAGCTGCTCCTTCTGTTACACTTCCTTTGCCTTCTGATCTTTTTACATTTCTCATTCAGTATAAATACAGTAGGTTACAGCTGCATTGCACCTTTGTAGAATATAAAGGAATCGCACTGTGAAACTCAGCAGAACCCAATTTTCTGTGTATTCTCCTGCCATTTAGAGATATTTGGGATAACTTGATAATTTAAAACAGCTTCAGAGGACAGAATCAACTAGTAGCACCTTTCCCATGTGTGTATTAGTAGAAACTAATGATGAACATAGTAAGACTTTGCAGAAAAGCAGTAAAGCTCAGATGGAGAACAGGAGCGAGCCACGTGTCTATCTAAAAACCATGTGGACAAAACGGACAAATGTACTAGTACTGCATAACTGCACATGGAAAATAGTATTTGCAAGTGATTATAATGATTATATAGAGTGGAAATAATCCACAGATGACCTTTTAAAGTCATGGCATACAGTACATTTAACATCTTTTCATCTCACTGTATAAATGCATGTGTCCCTGTGTGTTGTGCTTTAGCTGGTGGATGAAGAGTTCGACGCCCTGGAAGGTTTCTTTTATGTTCTGGAGCACGGGATCCTGGAGCTCCTGGAGAACGTGGAGACGTATCTGCACCACCTCCAGGTAGGATGCTCTTGTTCTACATTCTGCTGACTTATGGATAATATTATGTATTATATAACATTTTGTCTTTAATTGAGGCATCTCACTCAACACTGAACATGTCATCTACTTTTTACTGATTGTTTTGTCTTGTTTTTCGTGTTGACACCTCTCAGACAAACTGCTGTGGTGTCTCCATGTTTAAACCTGGCGGGATTTGGGAAATGTAAACTTGTAGCTCCCTGCCACATACATTAAAGGGACAGTTCACCCCAATAAAAATATGTATATTTTTCCTCTTACCTGCTGTGTTGGTTATCAATCTAAATTTCTTCAGTGTGACTCACCAAGTGTTCAGCCATAGAGGTGTTCGCCTCCTCTACAGTATAATGGAACTTTCTTTTTACCACTACATGTATCACCGTGCAGAAGGAAGCGTGTATCTACTCTTGTAACGTTAGCTAGCTCAGTGACGCTAGGTGAGCTAGCAGTAGATTCCTGCTTCCTTCTGTGCTTTGATGCGGTTGGCGTGTGTAGTTTGGTAAAAAGAAAATAGTTCCTATGTGAAACTACTCACAACGAGGTCTGCTGATTATCTTGAGTAAATTTGTCGGCATTGTTCCCATCATACTAATTCAGTTCCACGTATTCACTGTGAATACAACAATCACAGTGGAGTTTGGGGGTTTAGTCTTGTTTGAGAACACCTGCAGGTCTTAAATGAAAGGTGAAGAGAGTTATTAATTCCCCAAAGACCCAAACCTGGTCGCGTGTGCCCAGTAGAGAAGTGGAATAAGTGGAACATAACTTAATACTCATTCTTGAACATGTTGCCATGTGTTTCTGAGTCACGCTGTGTAAACTCGAGGCCCTGAGGTCAAAACAAATGAGTTTCTGTGTACCTTTCCACTCTAAAATTATCCCAAGTTTTTTTCCTCTTTCTATTCCCGACCAACAAGGATCAGCACTGTATCCTACTTCTTACCTCCTCAAGTAAGGCCAGTTATTTTCATCAGGCCATGAAAGTTGTCCTCTCGCAGGGATAATTGAGTTTTACCTCTTAATAACCTCTAATTTGGACCTGGCAACCAGTTTGAACATAGAAAACAAATAAAAGCAAACACTGGTGAATTCATTTATTCCGCAGTCTTTTAATTAATCAAAATGAGCAGATGTCAGAGATGTGAGCAAGGTTTGACAGATTGTTCTTTGTTGATCTTCAGGGGTTCCTGGCCTGCAAAACAGAGGAGTTTGACTTTGATATGGACGGAGAGAAGGCACCTATATGCTACAAGGAGATCACTACCGCTCTCAGACAGTGGATTCTGCCTACGTTTGTGAGTCTACCCCACATTCTCATGCAGATACCAGGAGTATCAAATTCTTTACTTAACTTAAAGCAGAAACAGCACAGTAAATCAAATACTACATGTACATTTGCTGCATTAGTAGTTGCAGTTATAAAAAAAGATAAAAGCATCTGCACCAAAACTGCTCAAGTGTTCAAAATAAACACACTATTTGTGAAAAGTTGACCTGATCTATTCTTCCATGTAGGAAAAGAGGATGAGGACGTTAATCCACAAGCCACTGTGTGCACTCCGTGACCTCCTGGTGGGTCCGAGGAACCTGATCCGGAAAAGGCTGGACAAGCTGCTTGACTATGAAGTGATAGAAGCCAAATCCAATCTGAGCTACGAGGAGCAGGCTGTGGCCAACACATACAGGTAGAGAGAGAGGGTCATTTTAAAATTACAGGCTGGACTGATGGGTGGAAGTCTGGCATATACCAGACTTCCACCATGGTTTGAAGCTGGTGTTCTTTTTAATAACAAAAGTTTTTAGTCTTCAATGTGATATTTGCAGCTGTTTGACCCTAAAATACTCCACCAACAAAGTCCAGTCTGAGTCAGTGGGTACGTTTACATGCACAATAATATTCCACTGTTACTCCAAGTATGACAATATTCTGAGTTTGATACGGGTCATGTAAACAGCATATCCCGTTTGGTTATTCCAAAGTAGGTCTTATTCCAATTGTAGCATTTTCTGATTAAGACACGTTGGACATGTATACAGTGCATTTGGAATATACATCTCATTTGGGTTTTTTTCCACAGTTCTCAGTTAGTTTTGTGAGTTGTACGTGAACCAACTCACCAAAGGTTTGTGAGGTTGTGGTAGAGATGCATGCCTGAAAGAAAAGCACACATTTCTGGTTGCAAGGAGGAACACACCTACTTTTAAAACATTAAGAAAGACGTGGATATCGACAAGCTTTTGGATATGCACAAATATTGCTACACCAACCTTTTCAAGAGAGTGGTTGCAGGAATGAAAGAAGGAGGCTGTGTGTGCGTGGATGAAGAAATCCTCCACTGGTGGAAAAAATCCTGCCACAAGCAACACCTCAATTCAAGTCAATTTATTATCATTATTGTCACTTTAAATACAGCAGCATACAGTGAATGAAATGTTGTTACACATGAATCCAGGTGCAGTAAAGAACGTGTAGCAAACAAGACATTCAACATGGACAGGACAGCATTAAAGTGACACCGTTAACAGGACGCTGCATCTGGGCGCCGCCATCTTTGGTCTCTTCCTCCTGCTCTACTTTTCAGTCTTTTGATGTGATGAATGACATGTTCAGGCACGGTAATCAGAGTGTGCACAGCTGCATGTAAACAGGAATACAACTGGAATATTACTTTTTATTTGCCATGTAAACAGCTTAGTATGAATGATCTTTTTTAGAATGAGGGCTAAAACTGGAGTATGTTGTGCATGTAAATGTAGTCTATGTCAAACCAGACAGTGGATCTATTGTTACAGCCTCCTCCTTGGAATTTTTATAGTCTATATGATTACACCCTTTGGACGTGATGTTAAGAATGGAGTTTGACCTTTTAGAGCCCGTCTAATAAAAAGGGTTAAACGTTAATTAAATCCAAATTTCCATTAACATGTACATCCTGAAACGGGTGTGTTTGTGGACCCAAATGCAGTACCAGGCTCGCAGGAAAAGTTGGTAATGACTTTTATTAGCAACACAGCAAACAGGGAATGCAGCAGGCAGAATAAACACAGAATAAAGTTCGTTCTTCGGGCAAGTTGCCCTCACACAGTCTCTGAGGCTCAGATGAGGGAAAGAGATCAAGCTTACGGCAGCCAAAGGTGGCGAGGCAGACGCACCGTAGGCTGAAGTGCCGGCTGATCGTGCTGAGAAGCCGACGAGGAGTGAGCTGAGGCGAGGTCGGGAGCCGGTGGGGGGGTCGTAGCTAGAAGAGCCGTCAGCGAAGGCAGAAGCACCGTTGAGGAGCAGGCAGGAGGGTAGACGAGGCCGGGCGGAGGAGTCGAGACCAGACGAGCAGGCAGAAACCAGAGACGCTGAAGCAAAGCACGAGGTCGGGGACAGAAGGCAGGTGAGTTTACCGGGAGGCAGACGAGGGGAGCAGGTCGGGGACAGGCAGAGTTGGCACCGGGAGATCAGGCAGGAGAAGAACGCTGGAGAGTCTCGCATAATGCTAAAGAACAATCTGGCAGTGAGTGAAGGTGCTGGAGAGGCTTATATGCAGGGCTGGTTGATGAGCTGCAGCTGTGTAGGCAGGTGAGCAGAGTTGGGCTGATGAGGTGGGCGCGGCTGGCAGGTAGAGTGAAGCAGAGGGAGGGGGAGTGGAAAAACACTGCAGCAGAGTGGCAGGAGAGGACTGAGAGACAGGGATTGTGACACATCCTATGGTGTGTGAATATATAGTGTATGTGACCTGACATAAACTTATTATCCTGACGTGACTTCAGCTAAATGATCCGGCATGATTCAGGCCAAATTTGGTTATGTGAGGAGAAGGAATTGTTCTCGAGGCTGGTTGTCTGTATAACAGTAGCATAAGTGACGGGAAACCCCTTTCAGTGTGTATTGGAAAACTATAGGTGTGTCATCTGATTTTGCTTGTTTGTCAGACACAAAAATTTGTCATCAAGTTCTAATTCTCAAATGTCCAATCCTGTGTTTTGAGTCTCTTAACTCTACAACAACCTCGCCTCTCCTCGCAGGACAATCAACACGCTGCTCCTCAATGAACTTCCCCAGTTTAATGGTTTGGCTCTGCAGATGATCTGGAGCATGTTGGGGACGTTCAGCTGTCTGCACAAAGACCTCGCCTCAGACATGGAGCAACTGTTCCAGAGCTTTGCACAACAGGTAATCTCACGTGTGTGATGTGTTCTATCCACACAGATGAAAAGGTAAAGCAGAAAAACAAAAGAACATTTGGGCACCATTTCTTCCAGTGCTCTTACCAATGAAGCCACAAACATTAATTACCTTCAGATGTTTAATTGAAATCTCTTCTTGCAGCTCCCTCACAGCTCTCTCAACCCCAGTGCATTCTGGGAGTGGGCGGAGTCTGCAGTGCTGGGAGGTGCGAGGAGCCTGGAGACTTTGTGTCGAAGTGTAGAGGAGACCCTCAACGCACCCTTCGTCCAGGTGGGTACAGACAGAGTTCAAACTGTTGTGTCACAGTGTGTTTTGTTGGGTTGTTGACTAAGAATGCTGATCAGGGTGTAACCTGTGTGTTTATGCATCATTCACCCTCTGAAATGCAGGCTGAGTTTTTTAAGTCAAAGATAGACAGACATGGTGATCAACAGACCATAAGAGAACAGTAAGATTAGGACAGCAGTCAGCACAACAAACTGTCACTCTACATCTGATCTCCGTCACGTTTCCTTTTTTCAAAGACAACAACAGGTGCACAGAAATCTGAGCTGTTTAATTGGCATTCACATGTTCAGTTCAAAACATTTCCACAACACTAAATGTTCCAAAACAGGAAGATGTCACATGAGGTGAAGGACAAAATGTCACAGGAGACATCGAGGTCCTCTATAAAAGTTATTCAACATAAAACACTGCAGTCAGGGATGTTCAAGATAACATAACTTTTATGTTTGAGAATTCTTGACAACTGCATACAACCTGACAGCGGTCTACCAAAAATGCTCATTGAATCGTGGAGTTACATGACCAGAATGTGCGTGTATGAGTAGCAGGAGTCATGTGACACACGTGTGGACTTGAGACCAGTCTAGCAGCTGCCATCAGCCCTGTAGAACCAGTAACCACAGACAGGTTGTTAAACATATCCTCTGTCTTTTGGAAGTTAATTGCTTACCTCACAGTCCATAATTACAATTTTGTTTCCAGTCCAACCACAATAATTCTCTCAGTTAAAAAAAGCTTTTACCATCACCAGTCATTAAACACCATAAAACTGTCTTAGATTTGCATTAGTTTAACTCAGCATGAAAATGTCCATGCTAGCTGTTCCCTTGCCAAAATGTAGCCTAACTTTGGAGCATTATTCCGCCCCTGTCCTGACCAGCTATACACACGGTTCAATGCTAATGGATGCCTTAGGTTGCCTAGTGTCACAAGATACCACTAACTTCATGCTAGCTTAAGAATTATTGCACCACAGCCTCTTAAAAACAGTAATGCAGCCTCCAATTATTTTTCGTCCGCCTGAAGGGAGCCATGGCCAACCTGATACAATTGCAGGCCCTCCCCTCCATAGCATTTTGGTCCCCGTTTTAAATAAAAAAAAAAATACTAAAGAAAACTCCCATTATATTCTTACCTGTCTTAATTTCCTGTAAATAGAAAGCTGTCTGGTTTTTAAAAAGATCTAAAAGTCTAAAGACGGTTGTGACCAGTGTGGCTCGAAAAACACTTTGGTCTGGGTTAAAATATATCAGCAGCTATACAATGGATTGCCATTTTAAAAAAAAATAGTAGAGGTATTCATGTCCTTGAGTGGCAGCAACCTCTACTGTCAAAAGAGCCATTAACTCTAGTTTAGCCTCTCAACAATACTAATGGATCTAAATGAGCATTTACTAATCACAGGGTGGCAGCTGTGCAGTGGGCTATTTAAGATTATTTGAGATTTTAACTTTGCACCATTGGCGATGACGACAAATCTGTCCATGCACTATTAAATTCTATGTTTTCCTCCCAAATTTCTCCTTTAATGGATGTGTCATCCATAGCTAGCCTAGCCAGGGAGACTAATGACGTGTCAACGCTATTTAGGTTTGGCAAAATTTAGAGGTAAAGGCGCCAGGTTGTAGAAGCACAGGCACATTTTTGTTGTCTTTAATCTGTATAAAGGGTACAAATTTTTACAACTGAAGAATGTACGAATCATGTTAGGCCGACAATTATAAATGAAAATTAAAATGTTAAAAAAATAACCCTCATTTTCATGTAATGTTTTGTCAAAGCCACAGGGAGACACTGCAGAGGGGCTAAAGAGCTGCATGTGGCTCTGCAGCCTCAGGTCCTAGAGGACTAATCCTGATCTGTTGACTTTTTTATCCAGCACTGCCAAGATTTCAACCTTAACCCTTGTGCAACACTTCATGTCATGACCAAATATGTTAAAAACTAGTAACCAAATTCCAGCCAACCTCAGACGTGCTCTGAGTGTGCTGCTAATGTAAGATGCTAACTTTAGCTTGTTAATGTTCTAGATTAGAATAGCAGCAGTGTTACATTTGTTGAGAGGATAATGATTGACAACAGGGCAGGGCGATATGGAGAAAATCAAATATCACAGTATTGTTGATGCAACACCTGGATATCAGTGTTGCAGTAATATTGTAGGGTTAACTATTGGTGCTTTCATAAAATATTTACACTGTGAGATTTTTGATAAATAATCATCAGTGATGGTGATGTAATCACAAAGTGCGTAACGGCAAATGATATGACAGCTAGAGCACTCCAGTAAGTTCTGTAAATTACATCCCTTTACTGTAATGCAGCCTTTAAAACCAGTAAAAGAACACCCATGATATTACAATATCCAAAATCTAACACAATATCTTGTCTCATATCACGATTGCCCAGTCGCCCTAGTTGACAACAGTCATGATTAAGCATTTGTTTTCTTGTAGTCATTTGGTTAAAGGAACGACTTGTCTTTAACGTGTGTCCCAGCTGTCTGTATTTCCTGCTCCACAACCTGTCAGATGTCTTAAACTGGGTCACATTCCTTAAACCTGCCAGGCAGCCTACAGTATATTAATAACCTACTGAACGAGCAGATTGCAGTCACGTCATGCTTTGTTTTAGGATATACTAATAATCTTAGCATAGATAACAGCTTCTGACAGGTGATAATACTGAGCTCATCACTGTCAAACATGTTGTACGAGCGGAAGAATGTGCCAAGTCATCACAGCCAATTGTATCTGCAGCTTTACGTCACTCATGAGTCACAAATCAGTTGTAGATGACAAGATTCTGAATGTGCTGCTTCTTGTTCTGCAACTTTCTTAATCACTTCCCGACATGTTCGCGTATTCAGTGACAGGAAATGTTTCTGCTGAGCTGTCATTCTGAGCAGGACTTAATTCAGCCTGACATGCAGAGTCACATGAATCTCTTTAAAAGTATCTACTGTGACTCAGGATAACAACCATTTATTCATCATTTTCACAAATGCTAATGTAAAAGACTAGTTAAGGTACAAATGTGAGGACTGGGCCCTCAAAATACCGCATTCTGATTGGTCAACAGCAGGATGTTCTCTAATTTGAATGAGATAAATCTGCAGAAATAAGGTTTTCTGCACTCAGTTAGAACCTGAAACTAAGGGTCGTCTATTTTCTATGAAGAAAGTAATTTAAACATTACTTTAAGTCAGACATATCCCGTCCTTTTTACCTTTGTCAGGTCTACTTAATATTCAGTCACCTTATATTTCACTCTACATTCTCTTCTGCCTGGTGTGTTTCTTTCTGTCAGCCTCTGAGTCCATCCTCTCAGCGCCGTCTGAAGCAGCTCACAGATAAGCACGGTTCTGGAAAGATCTACCAGGTGGCGGCGGCGGTGGTGGGCAGCCGGGACCTGGACCTGAACCTGGCCAAAGGGGAGCTGGTGGCTATTATCAGTGAGGCAGATAGCCGGGGAGACAAACGAAGATGGCTGGTCGACGCAGGAGGTAAGAATCAACATTCTGATAAGAACAGCAGTCGACAAGAACCTTTTTTGTTTAGCCGCGTCTTTGTGGCTCGTGTCAAGTTCTCACTTGTCTCTGAGACAGTGTTGCCTGTGCTGTGATGTTTAAGTGTACCCACAGTGCCCTATTTATATCTAAAGATAAAATGTCCTGTAGTTAGAAACTCAGGAATGACAGATGCTGTGAATACTGATGCTTGTCTGATGCCAAGGCAGCTTTTCTTAATGCAGCTCTTTGGTGCCATCGTGTGGATGATTGGTGTCATTGCAATTAAACAGCAATCGCACGTCCTGTGTACATATGTATTAGTAAGTTAGTAAGCCAGGCACTGTTGGAGATAGGCGGCACATTTAGAGGACATATTTGTGAAAACTGGAATCAGCTTTAAAAACAATCAAATACAGCGAACAGAAAAAGTTTTTTGGATGTTGTTATTATTTTAAAATGTTGGACTAAACACTAAGAAGAGGTTACGTACAAGTTAGGATACATACTTTATATTAAGTTCCAGTTTTGAATGTTAAAGAGTATGTTTTAATGTTACTGACTAAATTTTACAAAAGTATCATTAAAAAATTAATCAACATATTTAAAAATTAATAATCTATGTCATATACTTCGCTTGTAAAATGACAATTTTCATAACAGTTTCTCACCATGTGTCACATTAAATCTGTGAAGAAAACTTTTTCTAACATGTCTCCACTGTGAACGGAAAATACAATAGAGACCGACATTCTTCATGAATTAAACAAAGTTGTGTTTAACAACAGCAAAATTATATCAAAACATTAGTAACTAACTCTTACACAACTCATGCAGTATATCTAAAGTCTCATATATCCAGCCATGTGCTCAGTATTTTTCAAACACGTGCATTTTCACTACAACATTTTAAATGATTTAAAACATGGCATGTGCATTTAAACTCTTATCAAGCGGTGCTCATATGCTCAGGCATACTATGGCGTACTCTGGTCGGGCTACTGGTGGATGGAAATGTTTTATATTGTATAATTTTAGCAAAAATGCACAGAGCATACGACTGGATAAATGAGACTTGAGGGCCGCAAGTTGGAATTGAATGTGGGCCGCTGCAATATCTATGATATTAAATTGAGCACTTTTGGGTTATGGGCCATTCGTCTGACCAAACAAGCAAGATGACGACATCAGCCTTGGCTCTGGAAAAGTGTGACGGACATTTTGTTGAACAACAACACATGTATTCACTGTGAAAATCTGTCGATCAACTGTCAGTCAGTTGCAGCTCTTTTATATGTTAACATGGCCACCCCCTTTTTTATCTGTGTGTGTTTCATGCAGGCAGACGAGGGTACGCTCCGTCTGCAAAGCTGATTCGCTATCACCAGCCAACAGCAGACCCGCCGCCTTCCCCACACCTGAACCTGCCTGACGGCATGACAGGAATCAGAAGACACTCCTACACCCCAGAGAACCGGCCGCTGACGGTCATGAGCCAGCCGTGCTTCCAGGTGATTGATTGAAACTTCACAGTCACGACACAGAATCCTGCTGTGTTCAAACTTTTCCTCATGCATCACCATCGGCCCTTAATTATCAAGATGCATAGTTCACATTAGAATTCACCCACCCAAATATTGAAACGTGAAATGAAATATTTTCGCATTAATATTTTCTGATCTAATGCATCACTCAGCATATGTTACGGCCTCGTTAGTGAAATAGACTCGGAAATTTGAGCGGCCGCACACGAGAATCAGCCCGGCTGTAACATCGACCTCAGCTGAGTTATCTGACATCAGACACCAAACTGTGAGTGTGTGTGTTCCTTTCATTAATTGCACGTTAGCGACTCGGAGTGTGTCTGCAGCTTTGACTGATCGATGTGACAGCGTTCTGCTGTGGAAGCATCAATTTGTCACATGTCTGGCTGGGACTGTGTGTGTGTTTGTATGCGTGTATGTGAGAGAATCCTCGTGTATCCAGCCACGTGTAGGTTCGGGCTGCACAATGTATCATATTTCCGTACATCATAATGTCAGCTGTCAATAAGTGTGATACATGCATTGCAGAAGACTGTCATATTGCACTCAGGGATTTTTTTCTGAGTTGAAAGTGAGATTCAGTCAAAAAACTTAACTTTAAAATGTTGCTAGCATTCTTTTTTTATTGGTGCCTTTTGTGTTCAGTTCAATGTTTATTTGTTCAGTAGAAAAATGTTGGAAATAATTTCCTTTTCATTTTTTTCAATTCAACAAGCAACGTGTTGCTTTTTAGCCACACTGAGGCCTAGCTCACATGGACACAGGTTTTCCTTCGTTCCCAAAAAAAAAAAAAAAAAAAAAAAAATCCATTCACATACACTGTTATAAAAAAAATCTTTGTCCAAATGAAAACGCACAAACTTCAAGAACAAACTGAAACCCTAAAGCCATGTTGGCCAGTCATGCAAAGAAGAAGAAGAAGATGTTGACTGATCAGAAGCCTGATAAATGCATATCTCACTACATTTTATTAAGGCCCAAAGTTATGCATATTTAAGGGCGGGGCTGGTAGAGTGAGAGGCTGTCTGTGAGGCGTTATTGACTCTGTAGCCCACAGAGATCGCACTATAGGGCCACAACATTCAGTACGTTTACATGACACTTGAAAAAAACGAATTATTACCTTAATCCGACTATAACTGGACAACTGAAGTGCATGTAAATGCGTTACTCTGACTACTATCGGAGTTCTCCACCTCCGATTAAGACACCCAGATACTGCGATTGGAATTCGATTTTCTCCGGCATGTATACGCCGTAATCAGAGTTAAACTAGACAATGCATGTGCGCATGCTCCACAGCCCCCCGCGCAAAGCTGTACGATTATCCATCTTGCTGTTATTCGAAAACGCCGGTCTGCCGCCTGACTCCAGTTGTTTATTATTAAGTGACGTAATAGGTCAACCAGAAAGGGGGCCGTATTAACCCGCTGAAACAACGCATATCGCCACCTAGTGTTGAGGAGGAGGACATGTTCCCATCAGTAATTTGATTTTCTCAGTTGCTTGTAAACTGGGACAAGGACAGAAGTCCGATTAGACGCCAAAATCGACTTTTGAGCATAGCTCGATAAAGCTGTGCATGTAAATGTACTGAATGACAACACTCAAGCTCATATTGTGATGCAGTTCATGTTATTTTCCACTGGGTGTCCACACCTTGCAGGCTTACAAAAGGGCATGTCTGTGACAACCAGTCGCATCTGTTAAAACAAAGCATCACACCTAGCAACAAGGTCGACCACACCTCCTCAGTAAGATAAAAGTTTCTGTCCTTTCCTTGCTCAGAGTTGCTCTGAGAACTTTCCTAAATCAAGTTAGGAGCTCTCTTAGAGTACTCTCAGAATGTTTGTGAATACAGCCCCAGGAATTTAATGTATAACAGTAGCATTGGCCTCTAGTGTGACTTATAATACATGCACCAGCAGGGCTTTATAAACAATAACAATGGCATAACATGGCAAAAACAACCATCTACCATCTCTGCTATATGGCAGCTGGCCTCGCCCTCTGCTGCTCAGAGGGTAAGGCTTTTGTCCTGTGAGTTAGCCGCTAGCTGCTACCAGCTACTTTTAAAATCTGCCGTGGAGGGTCACTCGCACAACACGTCATCCAAACGTCACAGCCGTGCCGCACATCATCCTGTCCTGCAGAAAAGAGAGGTCACTCTGTTACCACCTCTGTTTCCAGCTCAGAGGGGAGACAACTCTGTCCCCTCATTCTGAGATCGTACCGTATATACAGCACAGGGAGGCGGCATAACAGCGTCAATTCCCGCTCTAAACAGGCAGTGTAAAATGGGCTTATGGGCCAGATCCACCCCTCACTTCTACATATCTCTACCCTCTCGTCCAAATATGGTCACCTCTGGCTCCAAAACCCGAGCTGGTGATGGCCGAAATGCCGAACTTGAGGCTTCAAAACAGCAGTCCACAAACCAGTAGAGAGAGTGTATCAAATATGCTTGTGTACATTCGGACAAGGCCTGAAAACATTTTAAATTGCACTCAGTTCTGCCTTTCTGCTCTTTATTTATCACAAGTAATATCAAGTGTGTGTGTGTGTGTGTGTGTGTGTGTGTGTGTTATTAATGGAAAAGTCCATAATTGGCTGTTTAACCTTGTAAGTGGGTTGCTGTGTGAAGGGTTGAGAGTTAATTTATGCACTGCTGCAGGCTGAGATAGAGTATGTTTGTGTGTGTGTGTGTGTGTGTGTGTGTGTGTGTTGTGTGAGATTGATTTACATTTTCAACACGTGTGGTTGAGAGGGGAGTGTCATGTCTTGTAAATTTGGGATGGTTTATGTGGTGTGAACATGGGAGGGAGGGAGATTTAGGTGAGTGGATGAGAAAGCAGAAATGCGTTGGGCATCGTGTGTGTGTGTGTGTGTGTGTGTGTGTGTGTGTGTGTGTGCGTGCGTGAGATATGTCTCCATACTGCCTGTTAAAGTGAGTGATTGCTCCTGTGACCTTATAGATGCGGTTTTTCATGCCCTCTCCTCCCCAATTCCATCCCTCATGACCCTGAGTCTGCTCATATACAAAACATACACACTGTACACACCCAGAGGCCTTGTCCTCACTCTTTGTTCTTTCATCCACACTAAGCTGCTCTTTTGTTAGTGGAAAATAGCGAGGATGTATCACTAGAGCAGAAGCAGCCACATGATTAATACTGTGATGATTAAGAATATTAATACTATAAATACATTCCTGTCTGGCCTCTGTAGTAATGCAGGCGGTCTTGGTTAACTCATGTTGTCATGACCATATATCAACACAGAGAGGCACCGTTTAGCTTCACCTCACTCCTCAACTCTTTTATTCCCATCAGAAACACAGCTGCAGAAAATATTCACCCAGCTCCTGCAACATGAATCGCTCTGCCACTGATAGCCGTGGTCACTTTACCTTTTTTTTTTTTTTTTTCCTCCTGCTTGTCTCTGCCCGGCGAAATGCTAATTAAATGCTAATTGGTGTAGACCGTCAGGGCAGAGCTAATGTCGAAGCTGAGAGGTGAGCTGAGGTGAAGGGTTTGTTAATGACACCGAGCAGCCGGCTAAACTCAGCTATTAGCACAGCTGCGGCACTCTGTCATACCAACACAGGGCTCATTAGGAAGCCTTCATTCTCTATGTGTGTGTGTGTGTGTGTGTGTGTGTGTGGTGATGAGATGGGGTTTGTCAAGACATAACTAGTGGGCTTAACCTTTTCAGAGAATATTACAATGATCTGTGGTTGTGTCAGTGTGTGTGTGTGTGTGTGTGTGTGTGTGTGTGTGTGTGTTCGCATTTGTACCACAGACTGTATAGAATAATGGTTGTAGCCACCATGACGTCATCCATTGGTCTGTGGACTCAAGTTTGGCATTTTGGCCGTCGCCATCTTGGTTTTTTAGAGCCAGATGTGACCATATTTGGATAAGAGCGTGGTTCTGGGGAGGATACACATTGTTCCACATCTATCCTGATTGACAGGTCACCATTGTAGCAACTTGTCAGTCACAAAGGTTGTCGCGGCCTTTATGCATCCTCTGCTTTATCGTCTATTATACTTTAAATAGGACCGTAATTTACCTAATTAACATCATAGTGTATTAAAGAAGACGTAAAACTAGTAATTGAGACCATAAACTTCTTCTGAAAATGTTTACTGAGGTTATAAATCAAGTGACAAGTTGGGTAATTTTGTGACTTCTTTTTCCAACCAAGTTGCCCCCTGCTGGCCATTAGAAAGAATGCAGGTTTAAAGGGCCGTACGCATGCTGTGTCTTTAACCACCTGGAAAATGCAAGGTCTGTTGCTGGGCACTACTCTTGTGCCTACTGTGTGCCAGCGTTCAAGGGCACAGAGGCATCTCTCTGACATTGCTAAACGACCATATTTAGCACCGTATTATAACCTACTTACCAGAAATCCTGAGTACAGAGCTGATCTTCGTCCAGGTGCTGTTTTGTACTGTATTTGACCAAAAATATTGTCAGTGGAACAGATGTAAAGCTCTGGTAGTCCTGCACTAAACTTCCTCTCCATATTTATCAAAGACTGATTTTTATGGAAGAAGGGAAAGATATCTGTCGGCTGTGATTGGTTGGTCCTAGTTAGGGATGCTGCGATCCAACTTTTTCACTTTCGATCTGATACTGATACCACAGCCCTAGTACCGATCCGATACCAGTGTATATTTCTATCTCTCTGTTCTGACCAATAGGTTCACTTTTTTTAGTACTTATTTTGTAATGTGGAATAATAGAAAAGGCTTTATCAAGTGCTATTACTCAAAATGAGAATAACATACTTCCTGAGATGAATAGTCCACAACAGTAGGATATTATGACAAAACTTGAGCCATTTATTAGATATTTTAATTTTTAACATAAAATAGGCAGTAGCATTAAATAAAATAAATAAAATAACATCTCTGTAGTGACTCATAAGTCATAACTTCTAAAGTCAGTTACCTCTACTGCCAGTGACCGCATCATATTTTCGATCCGCGATCTGGATCGCAGCATCCCTAGTCCTGTGCATTTACACTGATACAATGAATTTGAGGGCTCAAAAAACACACAATGTGTACGGCCCCTCAGGCACTTCACACTTCAGTTTTCAGACCTGGAGGGCACGTCCACTTCCTTTATGAAGTCTGTGATTTGCACCTTTTTGCATGTTTTCTCATGTCACGCCCTTTTTTTGCTGTGTCGTGAATTTTGTAGCGCTATCCCCAAACCATAATTTTTTATTCAAATCAGATTTGGCTGTTAAACACAGAGATTCTGCATTTTGTTCTTTTAGTTTAGTTAGTTCCAGCTGAGCAATTTGATTGGACAGGAGGCCTTTCTTGAGTGCTAATATAAAGCATGACAGCACTGGGACTTTAAACTCTGCCTGTATCACTCCGCTTTACAGGTGGAAACATATGACCGCAACAACATTTATGTTAAATAATGAATGCTCAGAAAAGGACGAAGGGACAGAAAGAATACTGAATACTTCACTGTAAATATCCAGGTGTGATCATATGACACAAGAAGACAACGCAACACACTGCAGGGCTCAACAATAAGGATTGCCCGATTACCCGGGGCAAGTAAAACTCGCGGTCGGGCATGTAAACTAACGACTCACTTGCCTGATCGGGCAAGTTGCTAAAAATAGTAAAAATTCTGCTCTGATGCAGCGGTCTCTCTGCCTGAAGTCACAGGCACACGCTGTGTAACAATGTCCTGCCCACAGCCCCCATTGATATTATTTTGCGCGAAAGACGCTTCATATAATAACATAACAATATACTATTTATGGTGTTATGCCATCGTGTCATTTCTGTCTCTACATGGTCACATGTTAACAATTCTCCTCTGCTCTCTGTATCGCGCACGGCGGAGTTCCACTACATACACAGGTGATCACGCTAGAGCGGCTCAGGCCGCATTTTCCTGACCAAACCTGACCCCGAGCCCGGTGCAGTTTGTCACCTGACAAAGTTATTGAAATGGACAGTGTGTAAATAACCAGCAACAGACTGCTGTTACGCACAGACAAACACGCTGCTCGCACAGCAGCGCAGCACGGCACTCTTGGTGCTGAGCGTGTTGCGTTCATGCGTTGTCACGTAAATAACAACTGCCAACATTTAAATAGGTCATAGCACAAAACAGCAGCATGTCAAGTGACTTTTTACTTTTATTATATTCAATAAAATTGTATGTTCCTAAATCTTGAGACACCTCATATGTAAGCTAGACAGACATTTCACCTGCTCATTACTGTGCACACATGTACTGACTGTACTTAGTCCTAAAGAGCCCTTCTGGTGCCAGTAGATACATAGAAACATCCCAGCAGGCTGTGCTTTGCAAGCATACAAAAAAGTTTCACGCATGTGAAAATTATTTTTCATGCGTGTGCTTCACCTCCGCTGCTACAACTCCATCCTAGGGGAAACACTGCTGTGTGTGTTTTGTGCAACAGGTGGATGTGGTAGTCTACTGGTAGAGTAGAGAGAGAGCTAAGTAGCATTGAAGTACAGTAGAGCAGGGCAGAGAGATGGAAGCAAAATATATTAAACCCGGTGTTAATACAGCAGAACTGGAGAGAGGGGTGAAAAATAAATAGAGGTGGGCATGGCTCAAGTAGGGCGCAAAATTATAGACGGAGAACGATTGACACATTTTTCACTTTAAGCCCTGACACTGTCATATTTGTGTAGGAATTAAGCTACAATACATGACATATGTTGTTTTAATTAATAAATACAGTGTGAATAAAGATTACATAACATAAAAATAACTGCAGTCTTTGTTATTTGATAGCCGCTTAAATTAAACAATTTTTATAGGGCAAGTAAAAACTGACTTTGGGCAAGTAGATCTCTGACCAACTTGCCCGACTGGGCAAGTGAAAAAAAACTTTAGCGTTGAACCCTGTACTGACTAAGCTGTTAACTAATCAGCATCACACTTATTCCATCAAAGCGACCATCCACAGACTGTTTCCACCGGCCACAAACTAAATGGAGACACACAGATGTAGCTTTCATGACACACAGCAGCTGGCCTGTGGTAAAGTGTAGACCTAGTTTACACAAAGTAGCGAGCCAGTGTGCAGGAATGTTAATGTGTTGCTTGGCAACAGTCCAGTTGCCGAACTATTCGTGTTGGTGAGCCAAATAAATCATTAAATAAACAAACAAATCAGAACCTGTTGCCACATTTTACTGTTGATAAATGGCGCTTGTAGAACAGCAGCATCATACTCAAGGTCGTGCACTCCTTCTCGTTACTAACTGTAGTTTTTGATCACAGTTTTCGCTGCATGATAAAATGAGCTAGCCCAAACCAGAGCTGAGCCTGACCAGCTGAGGCTGATGAGGTCCAGTTTAGGCTGATAAAACTGGAGCAAAGTGTGACAGTGTCGATCTGAGCAAACTGAGCCTGAGACGTTTTAAAATGGCCACTTCACTCAAGACAAACCTTTCTGAGTGCGTGACCTTTCCTCTGATACCACCCTGCCAAATGTTACACTTTCCCCCTCCATTACCAGTAAGGTCACAGAGTAACAAACTTGTCTCTACATTTCTTTCTCATCCTGTCATTTTGTTCTCTGCTGCTCCTCAGCCTCGCGGGGCACCTGGCACAGCCGCCTTGTACTCTTGTGTTTGACTCAGCGTCCTCTCTTCCAGGTGCTGGCGGCGTACGACTTCACAGCGCGAGGAAACCATGAAGTGTCTGTCAGAGCCGGCGAGCCAGTCCGTGTCCTGGAGCCCCACGACAAACGAGGGAATCCTGAGTGGAGTCTGGTGGAGGCGAGAGGTGGGCTCAGAGGCTACGTGCCCTCCAACTACCTCACAATCATGCCCGTGGGGACTGGGCCACCTGGCATGTTCCCGCCCTACTGACAGGAGGGACGGAGACACAGCAGCACGTAGAGTATGACAGAGGATTCACCATACTGTCTTTAGAAGGCTTACAGCAGTATTTTTTTAAATGAAGGTGTGTCTGCTTCTCAAACAGTAACATGACTCTACATTGTGACCATCGTTATTTTATTATCAGTGTCAAAATCAGTGTTTTAAACATCAGAGCCATTAAATACAAGAGTTTCATGGCCACAGTGTTAGGAGTAAAAATGCCATCAGTTTTATTTGCACAGCCCAAAATCACAAATTCTCTAAGGTCTTAACACCCTCTATCCTTGGACACTTTATTCAATAAGTATATCGTAACCTTTTACAAGTAAGAGCTTATCTGTCTTCTCTAAGGCCTTTTCTTCACTATCTCTAACTCAATTTCTGCACTAAATTTGAAAAAGATTTTGTTCCCCTCTACACCCAAAATATATCTTTTCAAAAGTGCCATTCAAAGAAGAGATGACACAAGTCTTACAAACTGGTGTGAACACGTGTGAGCTTCAAAAACACTGACATCTGACTGTAATGTCATCCAGACTTCAGCTCTGTGTTCACTCGATTAATCACTCAGGGTGTAAATCACAAGTTTTATCACATTATGATTATTATCGATTAAACTGACTCCACTAACACACATGAAACACGGCTCACAAGCAAGAATATTTACCAAAAGATATCAAATAATAACTGTCACAGACATAACAGTTATTTTTTTGCTCGTCACCATTAGGGCTGCAACGATTAGTAGACTAATCAATGACTAATCAACTATTAAAATAATCAGTGACTATTTTAGTAGTCGACTAATCGGTTTGAGTCTTTTTTCATAGAAAAGTACTACAAAAATACTCCATTGGCAGCTTTACACACTCTCCCATGACGGTGAACTAAAACCCTTTGGCATGAGTACGAAACAAGACATTAGATGAAATAATTTTGGGGTTTGGGAGAGACAGACCGACATTTTTCAACATTTTAACACATTTTTCGATAAAATGATTAGTCGACTCATCGAAGAAATTATCAACAGATTAGTCGACAATTAAAATAATCGTTAGTTAGTCACCATTGTTAGCTTAAACCTGCGGCACTTTCTTTTAATGCACGTAACATGATTTACTCAGTAACATTTACCTGTCTCCCTCTCCTGTGCTCTGCTGCAGCTCCTTGTGTGTGTGTGGACAGTAGGGGTGTAACACACATTGATCCGGATCAATATATTGTCAAAATGATCGACAATCAAATGAAAATATTTATACATATCTGCATCTTTGAGACGCACTTTTATTTTGAAATTCCCATGGCATGTCTGTGTCACCTTTTCTGTAGGTAATGACCAGCAGCCAATTAAAAGACAATGACGATATTTACTGGCAGCGCCTCATGATCACAGGCCCCTACATTGAATCAAATGGAGTGTGCTTTATACATAACTGACACATTCACAAGTCACTTGCGGTCCATCCAGAATGGACCCGCGACCCACTTTTGGACCGGGGCCCACCAGTTGGAAACCACTGGTCTAAATAACTGATACAGTGTCATATCATGGTGAAACTTGTGATTTACACCCCTAGTGGACGAATGAAGCTCCGCCCCCAGTAACGCACAGAGGGGAGAGAAACGGAGCTGGGTATCATTTAAAAATTGCGATACCAATACCAGTTCCCTTAAGGTGATGCCAACATGCTTTGCCAAGACCTTTTTTGTTCTGCTACATCATGTAAACTAAAGCACTCAGTTGTGTAAAATGCCTCTAGACACCACAGACGTGTAGTATAGTCAAATATTTGAATTTTTTGGTGGCATCTCGGCACGCCACATCGCCAAATTCAGTACGCCATGCTCAACTTCACTACACCACAGACTGTTTGGATTGTAGCTGCTGCAGTGGTGGGCCAATCATGTCGCATTAAATTGAAGGACACTTGCTGTGATTGGCTGTGAGCAAACCGGAACAGGAAGTCTTTTTTTTTTTCTAATTCATGAAGGATCAAATGCAGGTCGGGTTTGACTGGGGAAGTTTCAGTACTCCCGTTGGTCTGACAGCTGCTCAGGCCTGGACCGTATGATATGGGACATACTGGACACACTGGAAAAGATGAAGGAGCTTCAGCCCCGGTGCTGGTAGTTATGTGACGTGTTGCTAATGAGCACTTTGGCAGGACAGATGCTGAACTGGAATTTAACTCTGCATCTTAAGGCTGAAGGACGATCTTCAAGTTGCACTGCAAAAATCTTTCATGGTCATTATCACAAAGCACCAGAGACGATGGGGAGAATATATTGAAGACAAATGAGGATCAGCTGACCTCTGTGAGAAGGCGTATCCCACAATCCCCGGCGGGACGAAAGGACACTAGAATTGAAAACGATAGGCTGCATGTTCTCGTTAAGAGAGCCTGCGTGTTAGCGAGCTAACGGCAACACTTGGACGCACAGAGCAGAAAGTGTGTGTGCATGTGTTTGATGTGAAATTGGGCTGACAGTTGTGTGGGTGTGGGTGTGTGTGTGTGTGTGTGGGTGTGTGTGTGTGTGTGAGCTGGGTCTCCTCCTCCTCACCTAGAGGCAGGAGCAGTACTGTATCGAGACTGACAGGTACACAGCGCTCTCATCATCTCAGACAGTGTAATGTGATGTAAATGTAAAATGTCTCCAGGGCCGAGTAGGAGAGAGGCGAGGAGGAGGGGAGGAGTCGGAGATCTAAAGACACAGGAAGGAATTCATACGTGGAGAAGAAGCGAAAGAGTTGGAGGGAAAATAGGAAAACTCTGTGCCTGCTTTTCCTCCTCACATCCTTTTCCTGTTAGTCTGAATATCTATTTTGTCTCAGCCTCCTTCCTTTTCCCACTCCAACCATAAGCTGATTTAAATTCACTCTTACATTCACTTCCTACATTCCCCCCTTCATCTGTAAAGGCTGCGGATCTGTAAAGGATGTGTCACCGGTGTGCTTTCATTCTCTCCGTTCACATCACAGGACGAGAATCAACTCCTCTGTGAGGTTTTGCGCTTGAAAAGGTTCTAATCACATATATAAAACAGTAACGACAGGACTGAAGCGACCTACTTCTGTATTCATAGGCACCTGATGATGCCTGTTGCTATGGATACTGTTCAGTGAATGCAGGTCGCGTCTCCCTGTGGCGTTTCTTCAAGTCGGATGGACTGTGAAAACACTGAGCTGCAGCACAATTCAAGTTGTTTTTGTCGGTTTTGCAAATATTTGCCACCTCAGTATCTTCATGTCACACAGTACGCAGACCTGTGCGACAGGAAGAACTGTTCTGCACTGCAAACTAAACTACAGCTGCATTTCATTTATGTGCTTTTAACTTTTAATGTCAGTGCGTTTAAAAAAAGACATGTGCCGCAGCGTCACATGACATCATTCCTATCTAAGTTCAATGATGTACTGATCCTGCAAACATCTTGATCTTGATCTCTTTTTTCAGAGCGCTCCGTGTTTTTTGTGCAGCCACTCTGACGATGACATCACTGCCACTTTTTTAGCTAGGCTGCTTTCACTGTCACAACAGAGACAGAGACGCTAATTTTGCGAGCACATCAGTCGCCGGACACTAGGTGTCGCTGGTGAGTGTTGTGATTTTATCACCGCTCACTTTGTAAGCTTGAGGTTAACTGTGTCAACCCTCTCTTAAGTTAGCACTTTGTTAGCTACCTGGCTAATGTTAGTGTCAAGATCTTGTTGTCATAGAAACAAAACCCACGTGCAGCAAGTCATTCAAAAAAAAGCGCTGCCAGCACACAAATCCACCAAAGACCCACGGATGTACGGTCACCCCTCCCAAATGCGGGCCACATTTAAAGGACGTGTAGAGAGCTACAGTGGCTGACAAAAAATGTCTATCTAGAGCCAGTGTTTGGTTTGTCCCTTCTGGGCTACTGTAGAAACAACATGGTGGACTCTGTGGAAGAGGACCCGCTCTGTATGTAGATACATAGGGTTCATTCTGAGGTAATAAAAACATGATTCTCAGTTTTAGTTGATTATAAACCAATGAAAACAAAGTTATGAATATTTTTGTCACTTGCCAGTAGATGCCCCTAAATGGAAACACTGGACCTTAAAATCTGTGTAATCATTTATCCAACATGGAGCACCTACTCAACAGTGGCTGCACATGACATTCCTGGAAGTGGGCGTCTTGTCACACGAGCATGTTTTGCATAAAACGGAGCCTTCTGTCCGGCGGATAGTGCTGTATCAGCTGCTGAGGATGTGAAGCAGAGGGAGGGGGCCGCTCAGCTGGAGCTTAGCTGTTCCCATTCGTCTGAATGTCAGGACGGCGCAGAGCAGCAGGAGGGACAGGGAGAGAGTGTGTGTGTGTGTGTGTGTGTGTGTGTGTGTGTGTATGTGTGTGTGTGTGTGTGTGTGTGGGATGCTACTAATGTACCAAAATACCAAATGTCCTCAAGGTTAGTAAGAGAAAGGGGAAGTAAAGAAACCTGACGACATTTTACCTGCTGTCACTTCTTCAAAGGCCAGTTTAGGATGAAAGGAACAATTCAGCCATTAAATGTTGTTAAAAACAGGTAATGGCACTAACTTTGCATTTTGGCTTTTATTTCACTTTTTTTGTATTTATTGTAAATAGTGAATTAACGGTGAGAAACAGCTACTGGTGATGCCTCCTGAAATTTAAATCCATTGCAAAGAATTTCTTATTCTTTGAAAAAACTTGCAGATACTGTAAAAATAAAATACATGACTTCACAACAAACTCCTGGAAAACATTTTGAGCCATGTTCTAAAGATATATGATTATATATAGATAGTAAAGGGTCTATTTTTTCATTAAAATCATCTTTTTTTTTATTAGAAATGGGATAAAATGTAGCTTTAATTTCATTCATTCAACTCTCGTCCACTAGAGTGAGCTGGAGACCTAGGTTGGTTGATGAGAGCCTGTGTATTTCACTGTGTAACTATTGTGTTTGCGTGTGTGTGTGTGTGTGTGTGTGTGTGTGTGTGTGTTACCTCTGTCAGTATTAGAGCTAGCCTGAGAGCAGAGCCTGAACATAATCTTGTACATTCTGTTCCTATTGTCCAGTTTTTTTATATTAACCCTCTGTTGAACCAACATGTGAAGAGTTGAATGTTTAACCTGCTGACGATCTGGTTTTACAGTTTTACAGTCTGTACAGCATTTCTCTGTGTAATTTATTGTTTTGTAACTGTGTTGAGTCATATTGTTGTTTTTAACTTATTCGATGCCGCAGGGCGACCTGACCTGAGATGAATCATGAAGTCTTTGAAGTGTTGCCAAAGTTATGATGTTGGACTCACTTTCTCTCTCTCACACACACGTATTCACACAGCAGATGGGAGTGTCTGCAGTGCAGCAGTAGTATCTGTCAGGGCAGCTGTGAACTGACTGTCTGTGTGGCTTCAATAAAACTAAACAGAAACCTGTTCAATGTCCTTGTATCACCTCATGTTAATAACATATCCAAAAAATTATTCAGACATTAATGATCAGTTCAGATCAGTATTGTGTAAAAACTGGAAATTATAACCTTTCTGCCATCAGCTCAAAGGTTTAATTTTGTTAAGGCTTGAAGCTAGGCAGTAATAAATGGCTGGCTGCTTTGACTGACCGTCAGTATATGAGACATTGCAACAGATCCACTACTCGCTCCTCCAAAGCTCCAAAGTCTTTGGCTCCAAAAATCCAAGATGATGACGGCCGAAATGAAAAACTGGAGTCTTCAAAACAGGTCACAGACCAGTGACTACAA